CAGGGCTGTAGTTTTGTTTTTATAGATCCCTCAATGCACTCTTACGGCTAAGTAGCTGGAGTGTTTTTTGTTACTGCTGAGAATGTGATTTTTAATCTATTATTTTTCTACTAGTTCTTGTTAATTAGAAGGTAAATATCAGTAATGTTTTTATTTCTTTTAGGTTTTCTAGGCGTAATTATGTCTTTTAAACAATGATAAATAACTTTTTTAATTGACCATACTTCTCATATTCTCTTGTCTACTGCATTGGTTAGAATGTTTAGAATAACATTAAATAGTAGTGATGCTAACAAGCACTTCTGACTTGTTCTTTACATTAATTGGATCAATGGTATGTTAGTATTCTGCCATTAAACATAATGCTGACTATTGATTTGAAGGGTATCTGAAATGTGTTTATGTTACAGGATGAATATGGAATTTCATTAAATATTTTTTTGATTTCTGTCACTAGAAGTTTAGAGAGTTTTCCCTTCATTTCAGTAAATTATATTAATACATTTTTCTAAAACTTAATAGTGTCTTTTTTAAAATGGGATTGATATATAGGGTTTTTAATTTGTTTCATATAATCAGGCTTTGGTTTCAATTTGCTTCATAAAATTTGTTAAACTTCACCTTTTTCTGTGTTCTGAAACAGTTGATAACGTTATACTTTAATGTTACTTCAAGATTAGGAGTACTCATATCTGAAGAGTTATTTATTTAATTAACTCTTTTGGATAGGTACTAAACAGCATGTTAGTTTCTTTCTTGGGTCTGGTTTTTTTTCAGTCTGTCAGCATGGAGTTGCAATCCATACTTTTTTTTTCTGGTACGTTCCCCTAGCAGGAACTGAACCCTGGACACTCTGGTCTGCAGGCCGATGCTCCAACCGCCGAGCCAAACTGGCCAGGGCTCCATACTTTGTTATAATTCTTCTTTCTAAATATTATTTTTCCCTAAAAGAGCCAGCTTTGGAATTTATCAAGTCTAATATCTTTCTCTTTTTTAATTCATTGATTTCTACGTTTAACTTTTATTAAAACCTTTATGGTTTTCTTAGGTTTATTGCTTTTTTTTTTTTTTTTTAATCATCCTCACCCGAGGACATTTTTCCATTCTTTGTTCAGGTAGAGTGGAAGGGAGAGAGAGGAACAGAGAGAGAGAGAAACATCGATGTGAAAGGGACACATCGAGTGGTCGCCACCCTCACAACCAACCAGGGCCGGGGACAAGCTGCAACCGAGGTACGCGCCCTTAGCGGGAACCGAACCCAGGTCTCTCCGGACCACAGGCCGACGCTCTAACCGCTGAGCCAAACCGGCCAGGGCGGTTTATTGCTTTTTTATCTTCCTGAGTTGAGTGATTAATTTTATCTTTGGGCTTATGCATTAACGAAAATATTTAGGACTGTATGCATTGATTGGGACAAAGAAGCAATGGTATTAAATACTTTTTGCCTTTTGAGACTTGGCAGCTCTACTAAGAATCTGGCCTCATTCCCCAATATCCTGGTTCTCACAGTTCTTCAGTTCTCTGATCTATGCCAATATCCTTGTCAACTAACTACATGAACCAATAAATAAATTCTCTTTTGAGTTTTTACTTGTACTATCTTCAGGATACCTTTAGTTGTGTTCTGAATGACATGTTATAAAAGACGTTTTAGGTGCCTAAGTAATTATAGAGCTGTTTTGGTCTTCTCTTAACTTATCTTATATTTTATTTATGTTCTTTTACTACTTCCTTTTACATGAGTTGCTCCACCACAGTAATTTGAAAGACATTTAATATGTTTTCAGTTCTACAGGTGATTGATTACCTGTTTAAGTACTAAACCCATATTTCCTCTTTTATCTACTTTAGCAAAGTCAATATGAGGAAATGTACCTTCTCTTATAAACTCAGCCCCCTCTTGTTGGTTTTATTTATACTGTGATTTATTTTGCTTTGTAGGTAACATAATTCTACTGCCTGGATGCTAGAAGGACTCTTTTCCTTTTTATCTCTGAAAATAAAGAGATTTTATTAAGCTATGTCTTGGTGGTGATATACTTAATAGTAACTTTTGCTGGTACATAATGAATACTTTTGTTCTGTATATTTAGGTATTCATTTATATTTTATTAATCTCTATCTTTGAATAATTTTGTTTCAGGTGTTTTTATTGTTATTATTATTCAAATATTTATTCTGTACCAGGCACTATACAAATCAATGGGGATAGAGAGGTGAGTAAAACAAACATGGTTCCTTTCGCCCTGCCGCACACAACCAGGCCCAGGGTACATATAAGTGTACTTTGTTCATACCACTGATGGCTCAGCACATTGTGTAGTAATGTGTGTCTGTCATTTCCAGCTAAGGTCTGAGTTCCCTAAAAGGGCACCCTGTTTTACATACTGTTGGACAACCTGATTGATGGGAAGGATATCAGTAAATAACGTTTGAGTAAATGACCTGCTTTTGTTGAAATGTTTAATTATTTAATTTCCTCGTAGAGTTTGCTCTCTGCCTACCCAATATGGTTTGTTCCTACTTGTAATTGAATATGTGATCTTTGCCTTCTGTAGTATATCATCTGCAATATTTTTTCCAACCAGTGTTCATTTTTACAACTGCCATATCTTTTATGTCCACAATGTATGTCTTCTTTCTCACCATTGCACCTGCAATTCCAGCACAGCTGTTTCTGAGAAATAAAAACAGTAATATTATTGAAAGGTGATGTTTGATTTTTTTCCTGCATTCTGTGTACTTGCTGATTTTATTCCTGCCACCTAGTGGCCAAATGAGGATTACAACATGACATAGGCTTGTCTTGGCTTTTCCTGTTTGTAGCCAACGTTAAAATGTGTTTACACAATGGAGTACTATGCAGCTATAAGAAAGAAAGATCTCTTACCCTTTGAGGCAAGATGGAAGGACCTGGAGAGTATTATGCTAAGTGAAATAATCCAGTCAGAGAAGGACAAGCACCACATGATCTCACTTATTTATGGAATGTAATGAACAAAATAAGCTGACCATCAAAATCCAGAGACATGGAAGTAGGGAACAGACTGACGAGCTTCAGAGGAAAGAGGGATGGGGGGGGTGGTGGGAAGAGATCAACCAAAGAACTTATATGCATATATACATAACCAATGGAGACAGACAATACTGTGTGGAAGGCAGGAGGGGGGTGGGAGCAGGGAGAAGGGGGATCAATGGAGGAAAAAGGGGGGAACATCTGTAATACTTTCAACAAAAAACAATGTCGATAGTACCTGAGCTCAGTATTATTCCCTGTCTTAGTTATTTTTTACTTTATTTTATTTTTTTATCCTCACCCGAGGACATTTTTACATTTTTTGTTCAGCTATAGCGGGAGGGAGAGAGAGGAAGAGAGAGAGAGAAACATCGATGTGAAGGGACACATCGAGTGGCCGCCACCCGCACGACCAACCAGGGCCGGGGACAAACTGCAACCGAGGTACATGCCCTTAGCGGGAACCGAACCCGGGTCTCTCTGTACCGCAGGCCGACGCTCCAACCGCAGAGCCAAACCGGCCAGGGCTGTCTTAGTTATTTTTAAAGATTGGTATGTTGGGCTTAAGGTCAGAAGCCATTCTTGCTCTGTGTTATTTTTGTCCTTAGCCATGTATTTTTTTTACCTTAAAAATGCTGTAATAATGCTTACATACTAACCCATTTCATATTTTAGTGTTACCCTTATAGGGCAATGTACTTATTGGCAGTAATTTTTTTTTTTTTTATCCTCACCCGAGGACACTTTTCCATTTTTTTGTTCAGATAGAGTGGGAGGGAGAGAGAGAGAGAGAGAGAAACATGATGTGAGAGAGACACATCAAGTGGCTGCCACCACACAACCCAACCAGGGCCGGGGACAAACTGCAACCGAGGTACGTGACCTTAGCGGGAACCGAACTCAAGTCTTTCTGGACCACAGGCAGACGCACTAACCGCTGAGCCAAACTGTCCAGGCTGGCAGTAATTCTTGAGAATAAATCTTGGTATATGTAAAAGATAATATTGACAGTAATGACAGACTTTAAAAGATTATTAAATCCCACTAAATTATAAGAAGTGTTGAAGAACAAATATTCCTGAGATATTACTCATTCATTCGAAGGAACATTAGTTTCCAAAGAGGCATCAGCAGGGTTTATTTAACTCAGGACGCAATATGTAATGATGTCACCACTCCGACAGCTGATGGAACGTGTGCTTGTTTATTCTTGTGTTTTAAAAAACATCTGAGTTTTCATTTATAACACAGTAAATTACAATAAATATAACCCACATTTTAAAAGTGCAATGATTTGTTAGTGTAAAGGAGTCCTGAGACCAAAAGGTTTGTGAAGGACTTTTGTATAGCATGGTTAAATAGAATTTTCAGACTGCGTCTTCTTATTTCCTTATATTGTAGGGATCTTTTTGTTTTTAAGGAACCATAACCTATTCCCTTTTCTGCTCTTTCAGGGAATAGAATACGAGTTTTAGTTGTGGGTGGCAATTCAGGAAATTGTCTCTAAACAGTTCTTGCTAAAGGTAGAAGGCTGAATATAGAGGACAGAATTCTAACAGTACTGGCCAGAATGGCTGTCTTATGATGGGATGTGTTCTCATCACTGGAGAGGTCCAAACATAGTAGACAGTTGTTATGAGAGTATTTTTAAAGAAGATTAATAGTTCAAGTAAGGGTCTGTAAATAAAATGGATCTAATAATATAAAGCCCCTCTAAAAGACACTTAAAATCCTACACTGTTAGGGCTGAAACCATTTTGGAGGCATGTGAATTCTAATCCTAGCAAATGGAGTAGAGTTCTTGTTAGCTGGTATTGCCCAGACAAATTCTTTCCTGTTAAATCTTTTTAAAAATGAAAATGAATTGCTAAAATGAACTTTCCAGTTTGTCAATTCTATTTATCTCTTTTATTTCTCTCATATAAAATGTGGCATATTTAATCAACTTGCTTACCTTTTTTTTCTCTTATGTGTTTTATTTCAGTTGGTCGCATTATGTTTCAGCTCTTCTCGGACATATGTCCAAAAACGTGCAAAAACTTCCTTTGCCTATGCTCAGGTAAATGAATCATGAAATTATTTCCAATGAGAAATCAAGGATTACAGTTTTTCCTTGCTTAACAGAGTAGGTATATTTGTTAAAAAGTAATGGGCTGTGAGATGAGTTTAGCAAGTAAATATTATTTTCATGAATATGAATTAGGGAAGCATTTTTTAAAGGGAAGAGAAGAATGAAGTGGTCTCAAAAATGAAAAATAAAGTACTACAGTATGGAATGAAATCTCTGTACATTGTAGTTTATAAAGTTATAGCATTTTCAAAACTGATTAGGTAGAATTTAAGTAGTTTCAGTACTCCAAACAAATATAGCACTCCAGATTTTACAAGAAATTTAGGATTAGAAGATAGGGAAAACACAATTAAGTTATTCTTTGTTTTATAAAATTGGATTAATTAAAACAATTTTGTAATTGATTAATTTAAGAGAGAGAGAGAAAGGGAAAGAGAGAGTGAGAGACATCAATTTGTTGCTCCACCCATCCATACATTCATTGGTTGATTCCTGTACGGGCCCTGACCAGAGATGGAACCTGCAACTTTGGTATATTGGGACAATGCTCTAACCAACTGAGCTATCTGGCCAGGGCTAATATATTTTTAAAGTAGAAAAATTAGAAGGAAAACATTTATAATGTTACCTTAAAAACAAATAGCAGCCTGGCTGTGTGGCTCAGTGGATTGAGCGTTTTTCCATGCACCGAGAGGTTGTTGGTTCGATTTCTGGTCAGGGTACATGCCTAGGTTGTGGGTTTGATCCCCAGTAGGTGGTGTGTAGGAAGCAGCTGATCTATGTTTCTCTCTCATCAGTTTTCCTGTCCCTCTGTCCCTCTGTCCCTCTCCCTTCCTCTCTATCTAAATAAAGATTAATAAAAATATATTTAAAAATATATAAATAGCAAATTAAAAAATTTAAATTCACATTTGGTTATACACATGCATCCACAATCTTTGCACCAACTCCATGATTTCATTCTTTTACTGGAATGATAATTTCTTAACTTACTTTTCTCCTGTAGCCTGTAAAGTCTGTACCACACAATTTAACATTTATATGCTGCTTTCTATTATTTGTTTTGGGGTGTGTGTGTGTGTGTAATAAGTTGTCACACTGTGTACCTCTTTTATCTTTTATAGTATCTAACACACAGGAGTGATTTGACAAAGGATGGTACTTTCTATGGAAGGATGTTTTGTAACTAAACTTCATTTCCTTTTTTTTTGTTTTTTCCTAGGGGAGAAAGGCCTTGGGAAAACAACTGGCAAGAAGTTATGTTATAAAGGTTCTACATTCCATCGTGTGGTTAAAAACTTTATGATTCAGGGTGGGGACTTCAGTGAAGGTAGAGCTAAAAGTTATGCTCCTAATAACTCCGTCTGTCAGTTTCTAAAGTAATCATTATTACATTTCATTGTAACTATTGTCACTTAGAGTATAGTGTAAATATTAGGGGATCAGTGAATAGTTGTTGGATGAATGAATGTTGTAGACCAAGAATGTATGAAAAAACAAAATACTAAGATACTTTATTTTGTTTTTATGCAATTTGAATAATATAATTACTTGGTGAATTACCTTACTATCAATGCCAAAGTACTGTTTGGGTGTATTTATTCTTCTAGAATTTTATTTGTATGATTACTGTTTGAAATAAATTGGTTATGGAGATAATCATTTTAATAGTATTTATTATAATAGGATTGCACTTATATTTTAAAGATGAAGTTTATTAGAATTTTAATTATCTGCAAGTTACAAGATATTTTGTTCAGCAGATTAAACCTATAAAAAGTAACATATGTATTAGTATATATATGTTGTTCTTAACTTTATTTATTGATTTGAGAGAGAGAGAAACATTGATTTGTTGTTCTACTTATTTATGCATTCATTGATTGGATTCTTGTATGTACTTTGACCGGGGATCAAACCCAAACCTTGGTGTGTCAGGATGACGCTCTAACTGAGTTACCTGGCCAGAGCTGTATTAGTATATTTTTAATTTTCATTATAATTGAATGTAGCTTGTTATTTGCAGGTAATGGAAAAGGTGGAGAATCAATTTATGGTGGATATTTTAAAGGTAAGCCTTAATATTTTATGGTCTCTTATTTCAGTTCTGATATTAAAGCAAGTTTGATCATGTACTTTTAATGAGAAGAGGTTTACTTATAGTTCACTTTTTGCATGAAACTAATGCTGCATGAAAATACTTTATTTGCATGAACTTGGGGATACATTATATTGTAATATATAACTTTTAATTGACAAGATTAATTAAGGCTAACGTTATGGTTAAACATGACTTTCAGCATGGAGGTTAGGCAACTATATACATGAAAACTCCTATCTTCCTGCCTAAAACTGTCAACATATTCTTTTGTTTATAGAGAATGTGGTCTTTTGCAAAATGAAAAGGTAAGAGAACAAAGCTCAGTAACACAAACTCCAATCTGTTCCTTTGCACCCTTCCTAATAAATTTATGGACAGTCTGGGTCAGGTTGTGGCTGGATTTCAATATTGCTTGAAGACTTGGAAAATTCTGTATACTATTTCATACATCTGTATCTTTTTTTCTTTTCCTGATGGGTTATTACTTCCACATCAGGGAACAGAATCTAGTTGTATCTTTTTTTCCCTAAACCAAGCAGTTTCTTTGAATAAAAGTTGGTATTTCTTCCTTTGTCCAAGGTTTGTATATTTTCTTTTGTCTACTAGAACTATATGGTTGTGTATCATTACTGCAGCAGTAGCATTTGCATAAATCTAACTATTGCACTTGCCCCGAAAGCCTTAGAAAAGTCAGTTGCAGAGATTTATCATGGGATCCAATCTTACTAGGTGTTAATGTCATGATAGTGCCAGTGTTATAATAGTCTTTTATATTTCTTTTGGGGGAAAATGGATTACTACTATTTTTCAGAAGCCTGTTCCCAAGGTAATCATTTTTTAGTTTTCTGATTCTGTTTGTTCTAAAGAAACATTTGTTTGTATGAATGTCAAAAGGAAATTATTCTCAAGATATTTCTGCTGAAATTAAAATAATCTCTAAGTGATTTTTATGACAGTTTTTCCTTCGAACTAGTAAGAAACAGCTCTTTGGCTGGTTCTGTTAGCCTGTATCTTTGAAACAAATGCTGGTAGGCCACTTTAATGTGGTGGTTCTCTGTGGCAAATACTTGTGTATTTTAAATTGTATTTTGCCATTTAAATTGTTTTATAGGACCTTTCTTCCTTAGATAATTTTGTGATCCTATTGATTAGAAGGAATCCACATACATAATTTAATTTAGGCATATCTCTGCAGTTTGATTTATGTAATTTTTTGGTTTCTGCTCTCATAGTCTAGCTTCAGTTCAGTTGAGTACTAAATTTACCATATAGAAATTAAGCACATAAGAGAATTATTAAACTCCCATGTATAGTACATTAGGCAGGATAATTTGCAGGAAATTAGCTTTACTAAATAAAGATTTTTTTTTTTCCCTAAAATGTATTAGTTTTCCCTGAAAGTTATAGTTTAAATATTATTTAGTCAAAGTATGTTATTACTAAAAGTGACTGTTCTAAGGCTGTTTGTAAAAAGTATTAAATGTATGTTCTTTTCCTCATGGCTTTAAGTAGTATTTTTTGGTCTTTTTATGCTTTTGTTATTTGATTAGTTAAAACTTTTTTCTAAATATTCAGTCAAGTATCTGTACTGACCAGAAGAGGAATTTCATCCTTTGCTTTCTATTTATTTCTGTGAACATTACACTTTAAAAATGGCCTATACTGGAGACTGACGAATTTGTGTTTTCTTCAAACAGATGAAAACTTTATTCTCAAACATGACAGAGCGTTCCTTTTGTCAATGGCAAATCGAGGGAAACATACCAATGGTTCCCAGTTTTTCATGTGAGTAGGCATAATTCAGAGATGGGCTTTTCTTAAACAGAGAAGCGCTGTTCATGAGAAAGATGGTATAGTTAAACCAAGTTTAATGCTAGAATTTTATGAACTGGGGTTTTATTTTTAATTTTTGATGTTATAGTAACTGGTAACCTCTAGCAACCACTTCTGCATTCAGCATATATCCTTGATTTGAAGATTGGTACTTAAAAGATGTAACTTGAAGATGTACATTATTTTCAAAATAGCTTGTCATCTTATGAAAAGAAATTGGCTTTGACTCTTAACTAATTTGGGGGCTTAGTTTACCAAAGCTAGATGGGACAATCAACTATTGATGAACATTTAAAAATTGTTCATAGACTAGGACTAGATGTACCTTTGGTATGGAAAGCAGTTGGTTTGAATAAGCCATTTGCAGTTGCTTTTTCTCTTACTGCTCTTTGAGCCAATTTGAGTTATTATTTTCTGATATTGTATGGAAATAAATGATTAGCTGTAGAACCAGTGTCTTAAAAAACTCAAATCTTATGAGATCTCTGTGCGTAATGTAATTAACCCAGTACTGTCATTTTCACCAGAATTGGTGAGATTATCATTCAGAAAACTTCAGAAAGCTAAATTTGCTTTTTAAAAAACAAACCCTTTTATATATACATATGTGCACAACCAAAACCTTACTGCTTATTTTTCACCTGAAAGACCTTTGACATACTTTTAATTATATTCTTAACTACAGCTACTCCAAAACCTATTTTTATTATAATCCCATGATATCAAATATGAAAGATAATTATGTAGCATAAAGTTTAATGCTTTAGATTGAAAGTAAATCTCTACGATTGTGCCACTTATATTGGAGAAATATTTTATTCATGTCTTATCAGAAAAAATTTGGGGGGGTCATCTTTCTGAATGGATGAGTATGAATGGCGCTTCCCTGTCTTTAAATGAGTTCATATAAATAAATCTCACATTTTAAATTTGTGTGAAAAAAAATAGATTTTCAACATGATCTGATAAAGTTCAGATAAGGGGCATTCTGTTCCTACAAATGTCCTAAAAATGGAAAGCTGAGAGAAGATGACAATACTTGGAGTTGTACAAGAAAAGGGAAGAACTTAAGCAGTTGTTCTTATATCTTGTTTTGATTCCAGAAAGTATTAGTTATTTCACTTCTTTACAGAGTATTTTTCTATTCTTAACCTTCTTCAGGGCCAAAAAAAAAGTAGTGGGAAATATTTTGAAAAGCATATTTGGTAATTAAATATAGAAACTGTTTACTCTTTGATTGAGTTTCCCATTTCCATTTTTAAGCTTATCTGAACTGAACATGATAAACTAACAATTCATTGGTCAAGAAGCTACCATCTGAGGGCTCTAAAGTTTCTTTTAGATTTCTTTTTTTTTTATATCAGTACATGTAAAATTTGATTTATCAGGTAGCAGCAGCTTCTTGTTACTGATCAGCTTAAAGCAGTGCACCTACATACGTTAATTAAAATCCAGTATATGAGATTCTCCCGTCAAAAAATTTAGTATCTTGTTTCTGTGTTATTCAGTACTTGCTTAAGTCTTTCTTAGGAATGTTTAATATCAAACAAAATTAAGGCCATTGCTTAATTTTACATCAGACTACTATTTTTGACAAGTATTGCCAAATGAAAATTTTAACTTTAGTAAATTGAGGTTACAAATTTTAAACTTTTCTTAATTAACTGTAGATGGCATTAAAATTACTGTGAACCTATGATTGAAATAAAATTTTCTACTTTTAGTTTGAAATTTAATTCTAGAAATGAGTTTCCAATTAAAAGCAGTCTTAGAAGTGATAGTGTGTTTTTCCACACTCAAAAAAATCCTAATCTCTGTTTTTTAAAGACGTTTTTATAAATATGCTTTTATAATGCTGGCTAAAAGAACCAGTTCCCCATGGGTTACAGTGTAAAAATTAAACCAAATTCACATTTCTAAACAAAACATTTCTTTGCTTTTATAGAAAGGATAGTAGAAGGAGATGGTCTTTTTCCACAGAAGAAAAATCTTTGAAAATCCATGTTTTGCATGCCTAAATTTCTTTTGGAGTTGGAAGTAGTAAAGTACAATGTATTGTCTTCAAGTTGTATGTGATCACAGCTTGAAGGTTTCAGGGGCTGATGGTCGCAGAACTATCTGATGGCTCTCCTGCCTTTTACCTTCTTACCACAACCCCTTCTCTGGCACCTTGAGCAGTAGTTCTGCAGTTTGTAAAGAAAAGGATAGTGTATGGATAGGTGGTAAAAATGCCAAAAACTGCCTTTATAGTTCCTGTTTTATAAGTTTAATATGGGCTTTTTATATATTCAAAATTGTATTTGTAGTTTATGTTCTAAATTGGTTACTTTGCAACTCCTAAGGAGTAAATTTGACACTGTTAGGGTGGGTATTTTCAAAATGTTCCTCAAGAATCCTTGTGCTTTGTGCAGTATCTATTGTCTTCATTACTTACATTAAAACTTCCCCTTCCTATGCATATAGCATTTTTGTTACACGTAATTTTGTATATATTTCTTTCTTTGAATGAAACAATTACGGATATGATGGAAATCAGGTTTGCTTTTATGAAGCTGTTTGTAATTTTTACAATAACTGCTTATATCTACTACTGTAGTTACAGTGATTTTTGTTTTGGGGACCTAAATAGAAGAAAACTGATTCTTTTTTGAAGTACTGCTCAAGAAACATGAGAGAAGTGATACATGGCATTATCTCCATGAATTGCTGAGGAAATAATGGTTCATGTTAAGGTATTTTTTAAGGAATTCAAAGAACAGGGACCAAAGTAGTAACCAAGTTAACTCAGCAGTTAGTCCTTTTGTCCTTTTTATTGTTTGTCTTAAGCTAAAGACTATGAAGAACCACAATAAAAGCTATAGAAGTACAAAGTCTTAGAGTGGAAAAGGATTTAGAGATCTAGTTCGTCCTTTTCATTCTATAGATAATGCTAAATAAGGAAGAAAAACCATATAAAGGCCAGGTTATAGGAATTTTATTCATAGTCTAGGAAAGTTGATAGCTAGAAAGAGAATGCTGCACACAGTAAGCTACGAAATCTTATTGAATTTATTTTGGTTAGGAATTAGAAGCATCAAACATAACTGGAAAGTAAAATGGCATGTTATAAAGTATTTACCCTACTTTCAAAGACAAAGTAAATATTTTAGTGTGAAAATGTGGACATAAAAAAAAAATTTTGTGGGTTGATCCTAAGTTTCTGAACATGTGGAATGATTTTTATGCAAACATTGTCTTGCCCAAAGGAAATCATTGTCATTGCCTGGTTTTCATCAGCCCAAAAGGTGCTTTGGGCTCATTGTGCCTAGATCAGGAGCAGCAGCGGTCTCTCCATCGCTGCAGTTAGAGCTCGGGCTTGCGGCTGTTGCCCTTGTCCTCTTCACTCTTAGTCTGCAGGCCCTGAGTCACAGCCGTGGACTAGAAAGACCTGCAGAGCTTCGGAGAAGTCTCTGTCAGTGGTCATGATAAATATACAAAGAAAAGAAAACTAGATGACACAAAAGTCAAACTTGACATTAAACAAAGAGTGTTTGTTATATTTTAACAGTCATAAATAGGACTGTGGGAGGAAAACAAAAGTTCCAGGATATGTTCTGTCATTTAAGAGTCTGACTTGCCAGTGGCTGCTCACCTGAAAGGGGGAGAAGCGCTGATCATTGAGAGTAGTGAGCAAGGGAGTAGGCGTAAGGCGTTTATAAAGCTTTGTTGACGTTTTGGATAGCAAAAGTAGGTTTGGGTAGAAATGCTTTTTTCTTCCACATATTCATGAATATGGGTGAAAAGAAATGCTACTTAAGTGTTAATAACCTGAAAAGTTCTCGCTTTTTCTTCTGTTTTTTTGGGTAATACCTTCATATGTTAATTTCAAGATTTTTTTTTTCTATCCTCACCCATGGACATTTTTCCATTTTTTGTTCAGATAGAGTGGGAGGGAGAGAGAGAAAGAGAAACATCAACATGAAAGGAACACATTGAGTGGTTGCCACCCGCACGACCAACCAGGGCCGGGGACAAACTGCAACTGAGGTACATGTCCTTAGCGGGAACCGAACCCGGGTCTCTCTGGACCGCAGGCCGACGTTCTAACCGCTGAGCAAAACCGGCAAGGGCAATTTCAAGATTTTTTATTAACAAAGATGTTTATGAAATTTAACCATAGCCAAGTTCTCTGAATATCAAGTGGCATCCCTAAAATTCAGTCTTAGTACTACTTAGTATTTATGTGACATATGCATTGGTGAATATTGTGTTAATGTTAGCACTGAGTTTTTGAAAACTCTTCTATTTCGGTGACTTTTGGAACATATACGTAGAGCACTGTACTGTGGCTTGGCCAGTTTCTATTGCCCTTACGCAGCTTTGTCACTGTGTAGTTTGTTGGTACCTCCTCCATGATGGTCTGATAGTTTGGACTTGAAAGGGAAAAAATAGCATATTAAAGGCTACATTAGGCAGAAACATCTTTGTTTCCTTCTCCCATACTATTTTACACCGAGAGTCACTTTTTTTACATTCATTGAAAACTTCACATTATTTGAAACATGTACTTTTTTCACAGTAATTCATATATTAGTGCCTTTTTAGCAAATTATAGCTTTTTTTTTTTATCCTCACCCGAGGACATTTTTCCATCTTTTGTTCAGATAGAGTGGGAGGGTGGGGGGAGGGAGAGAGAGAAACATCGACGTGAAAGGGACACATCGAGTGGCTGTCGCCCGCACGACCAACCAGGACCAGAGACAAACTGCAACCGAGGTACGTGCCCTCAGCGGGAACCGAACCCGGGTCTCTCTGGACCGCAGGCCAAAGCTCTAACCGCTGAGCCAAACCGGCCAGGGCATAGCTTGTTTTTAAGTATTTTAATATTTGATATATTTAAAACCCCTATAAAGAATTTTATCTACTGTATATAATAATGATTTTGGTTTGACTAGTAATAGATATGTTTAAAGTTCAGTGGAGTTAAAATTGGTCAGGTAGTGTATATTCTCTTTAAAAAATTATGTGATGGGAGAAATCAGAGATTAGACAGGACAAGAAAGTACTGTATGTGACCAAGATTTGACAGCATACCCTTATACTTTCATCTTGCTTACCTTTTTCTCTTTTGAGAAGATCCTTAAAATTCAAGTTATGGTACTATATTATATTATTATTTTCAGTGTCTTAACAGCACAGTGTGTATATAATGTCAGTGAACAGTAACTATAGTCCAAACATTTGCTCATTAGCTTCTGATAGTAGTCTTTTGTGATGTGTGACTGAATAATGATTTCATATGTGGAAGCATGACAAGCTCTTAACTGAATGAATGAATGAATGAATTGGTAAAAAAATTCTCTGAAATCTTGTTTGTTTTCAATTCTCCTAACTCAGTTTATTTATTTTTTTCATTGAAATCTTTGCTTTCCACTGGTATTAATGGCTCCTGGGCATTTCATGATTTATGTTTATGTATGTACTCAGGATACATTGTTCTCTTTTTGAGAAAGATGTTAGTTGACTTAGCTTGTTTCTAGGATCTGTGAAGCGAAACAATGTTTTGTTAATAAGTATTAACATACTAGTGTTGCAATATTAAGGATCTGAGCAAAGTTCAACCGCAGTGCTTTGCTTAAGTATGATTCAATTCTCCATACATACCTATGTGAAAGAAAATTTAGAGCCCTCCATTTTAAAAAGCTTTCTTGCTTTGCATAAAACTTGAAAATATTTAATTTCAAAGTTATATTAATATTAAAACATAGATTCAGTCTTGTCTTAAAAGTGTATTACAATTTATTTCTTGCCATTTTTGTGTAAAATTTACAGAAAGAGTGTTACACCGTGCGCTCCAAAGGTAATGTCTCATTACTCTAAGGCTCTTTTTCTTTCTTTGCCTTTATCTCTTTAATCCTATTGTTATGTGCATTGAACAGTTTTAAGGAAAAAAACTCTGCTTTATCTGTATGGCAGCAGTACATGTAAAACAAATGTATTTTATTGTTCATGGTTAACCCCAAGAAGTATATTCAGTGGCTTATTTCTACCAAGTTTCCACACATCTTCAGGGTGTGGGTGTTATATTGTATATAATAGTTTCAGATTTCCTTTTAGTACAGAACTGTTCATTTTTGTATAAGGCCAAAAGTTTCTTTGATAATGGTGGAGTAACAGTGACAGTGTTCAATTTCTAGGATTTACAAGGTTTAAATGAACCCTTGCACATATACGGGAGTTGGCAAAAGTAGGTTCACAGTTATGAGTACACAAAACAGTTTATTCTTGTATTATTTATTGATTGATTATTGTGTTATTTATTATGATTATTATTAACCTACTTTTGCTCACCCCTGTACCTTTAAAGTAGATTTAAGGGTAAGAGGAACCTGGAAAGTTAGTGTCTTTAAGTGACAGGAGAAAATGAAAATAATGAAAGCTTTTGTTATTTGAAATGTTCTGTGTGATTGTTTCTCCTTTAGGTATATTTTCATAAGTATGAACAAATGATAGTCTGTGGCCTTCTTAACTTACCAAGCATATGTCATCACTGCAAGGGACTTTACAACTGTATAGTTTTGAAAGATCAATACAATTAAGAGTTGGTGGGATGAGATCATTTTGTCCATTGTAATAGAATTGAATAGCTTGGACTGAGCATGTCATTTCCCCCTGCCCTTTTGTAACCCCATTTGGCAACATCCTCTGTTTATCCATGTCCAAGTGTACGCCCAGTGCCTGTAAGCCTGCTTTACATTGGGATTTCTGCTCCTGGAATGGAGGCTGAGAACCCCAGAGGCTTCCTTTCATTAAGATCCTTGCAGTATTTTTAATATGTAGTCTAAGCCAATTAGGTATAACTTTGTATTGTTGCATCCTGAATTGCAGATGTGAGTACTGGACTGAATTACACCAGTGTAGGCACAGGGGGCCAGCTGAAATTTGTCCTTTAAAGAATTATTCCTGTCTTTTTTGTTTCCTTCACTATTGCACTAAAGGACCAACTTCATCTGTCTTCAGTTTTCATTTGAATTAAAAACACAACTTGAATCTGTCATAAAGGTAGCTATTCCATCCTCAAATTGAGTCTCAAGTAGTATGTTGCTACATCACTGCAGTTAGCTAAAATATTTACATGTTACCATTTGCAAAGGTTTGCCATAAGGTGTTTTTACAGCACTCTTATTAGCCAAGGTGGCAAATTGAATTGGTTTCTGTGTGTTTTAGAAAAATCTGTAGGCATTCCCCAATATCAGAAGATTGAGAGTTGTGAGAGAGAGGATCAAGGAAGGAAGAGGAATAAATCTAACCAACAAACCATCCATTGTTTTCACTGCTACTCATTTGAGACTGAGCCTTTACATAGCAGAACATTTTTACCTTTAAATGCTTAACCTCTTTATATCTTTCAAAAAATGGAATCACTGTCTAGAGTATGAACTGATTTTTTCCTGTCTTTAGTGTGCTTTGGTAAAGTTTGGTAATTGTGAAAAGCACATTTCTATCTCAGAGTTACTGTCCAAGGTATTTTCTGGATGATGGTATAATGATTTAAGCTTTAGTGCCTCACCAGTTTACTAATTGCCTCTTTCTTTCTTTCTTTCTTTCTTTCTTTCTTTCTTTCTTTCTTTCTTTCTTTCTTTCTTTCTTTCTTTCCCTTTTTCTCTTTTTCTCTTTTTCTCTTTTTCTCTTTTTCTCTTTCTCCTGCCTGTTTGTATTCATTTTTACTATTATTACTTTAGCTTGAGTTACCACTTCTCGATCTTCTAAGGAAAATTTGAGACTAGTGGTTTTCAAACTCAAGATTCCCTTTAAAATTCTGGAACTGCTTAAGTTGACATTTAAATTTTTTAAATTATGAAGTGTTCTCACAGAACTGAATTTTCTTAATGTAAGTATAAGTGTTACAATTCTTCATAGAAGAATGATTTTTAGCATTGTTGTGAAGGTTAAATTGTATTTTGTTCATTTATGTGTCTTAGAATTGCCTTAAAATGAATATAAAAATTGATATGGTAGCTTCTAGTACAACTGACTGCTTCAACATGGCCTGATATCCAGTGATCTTTCTCTCAAATACCTATTTCTAATTCTTAAAAATTAAGATGTTTGTGGTGTATACATCTGAGTCTAGTTATATCTGCTTTTTATTTATTTATTTTTCCTACTTCAATTCACAAGTGTGAAGATCTGTGAAAATGCTATGGGAAAACCATTTGGGTTCAAAATATCTTAACCAAATGTACCCCATAGGCTTCTCAAGAGTGACCATCTGCCAGTTTGGGACTGGAAGAAGCCAGTTGAGTGTTTTCTGGGCCATGGAAATTTGAAGTGTCTATATTGTGACCCATCATTATCGCCTTGCTGTCAGCAGTGTTGACAGATGAAGGTTTTCTCCCTATTACATTTTCAGAGTTGCTGTGAGTGGTGGCAGAGCTTCACCTTAGGTGAAGGAAGAGAGGAGGGAAGTTCTGGAAACAGAATCCCTGAGGCCTCACTCCCGTCTGCCTGCCTAAAAGAGGCACACTGACTCAGGATGAGACCGAGCCTGTGCTCTCCCTGGCAGTGCACGCACAGCAGAGGGCTCGGCGAAGTGGGGAGCACCCGTGGGCCACACTTTTCTTTTTGTAGGGCAGATGATAGTACCTATTTTTATTCTTGTTTACTTATCTTCATACATTTTGAGTTTGTTTGTTTTTGTTGTTTTGGACTTAGAGTAACTTTGATTTTAATGTCTGTGCTGTATATTTCAAACCTATCTCATGTATATGTACAGATATGTAGTTGGAGAAACATATGATTCTGTAATTCATTATAATTTTGAGGGGGTTTTTTTATCAGTAAAATTACTACTATTGTTGTTTTTAAGGTTTACATGTGTATTTTAAGTTTACATGTATATCATGTTTAACTTTTCCTGGTCTTTTTATCTTTACCTCTTTGTTTTCTACATGGCTCTGTGTTAAACCCTTCTGCTCTGTTCACCTGAACACCTGGTTTTTGCTGTCTTCTTTGTGTTGATGTTGATGACACAGCACCACAAAACCTGCTCCGCACCTGGATGGGTAAGAGTTATGTTCTTACTACCTTGAGGTGGTTTTTGGGTGGCCAATTCCTGACATATTGAACCATAGGTAGTCCCTCAAGGGTGTGGTCTGGATCTCTGGGCTAATCTCTCACAGCCAGACTCTTCCTTAAAAATTGCAGGGTTCAGTAGCCTTGAGACTCCATGACTTTCATGTCCCTGAAGGGATTTTTTAATCCTCACCTGAGGACGTTTTTTAATTTAATTTTATTTTTTTTGCATTTATCTTGAAAGAGAGAGGAGGGAGGGAGAGAGAGAGAAACATCGACGTGTGAGAGAGACACATCGAGTGGCTGCCACCCACACAACCCCAACCAGGGCCGGGGACAAACTGCAACCAATGTATGTTCCCTTAGCGGGAACCGAACCCGGGCTTCTCTGGTCCATGGGCCGATGCTCCAACTGCTGAGCCAAACTGGCCAGGGCCCTGAAGGGATTTTTACGGGTCCATGGATGGGCTTCTCATCCATGAAGTGACCCTGTAGGGATGGTTTCTGAATAGCAAGTGCATTATGACTGTTTACCATAAAATAGTTAAGAAGCATTGCTTTAAAGGTAGAAAACTAAGTCCCAGTTTGAGTAATCATTTTTTGTTTGTTTGTTTGTTTGTTTTCTTTTTCTTTTATGAAGCAGACTTCAGGTTCTAATTCCCTTTATGGATCAAACACAGTGCTTTTATTTTCAAGTCTGTGGACATGTCATTTATGACAGTTGTCTTGATTACTCCTCATGGCTTATTATCTGCAAACCATCTCTTTCTTGAATTTGTGTTGTGACAGGGTGCATGTTGTCTTTGGACTAGTTATTTCCGGTTTTGAAGTAATTGAACAAATTGAAAATCTGAAAACTGATGCTGCAAGCAGACCTTATGCAGATGTGCGAGTTATTGACTGTGGGGTGCTTGCCACGAAATCAACAAAGGATGGTAAGAGTTTGGAGGGGTAAAGGGAGCTATGATACAGGTAATCATGTTGAAGACTATAACTTAAAGATACCTCTTTGGGAAATCTCACATGAGTGGTATAGCAGTAGCCCTGAGACCTCTATATGATGTCCTGGATCCAGTCCATGAGCAAATCTTATCAAACCTTACCTCTTTTAACTTTTCCTGCTACCTGGTCCATACTACCAGTATCTCTTACCTGGCTTATTGTAATAACCTCTTGGCCCTCTGCAGTCTGTCCTTAAGAACCACCAGAGTGATATTCTAGGGCTTCTGCATAGGCCAAAGCTGGAGTCTGTAAAGGCCTCTAAGGCTGTCTGGCTTTCTGCTCTTTCTGATCTCTTCCTCATTCATTGTTTTCTGGCCAAGTTGACCTTGACTGCTCAGGCAAGCCAAGTACTCAGGGACTTTGTGCTGGCTGTTTCCTCTGTCTGGAACACTCTTCATTCAGATATCTGTCTGGCTCCCTTTACGTCTCTGCTCAGATGTGATCTTAAATTACCCCTGACTGTCCATTTATACTGCTTTAATTTTTTTAGCACTTATTTGTCATATTGTGCAGTTACTTATTTTCTTATCTGATCCCACTAGAATATAGACTTCATGAAGGCAGAGGCTTTGTTGCCCTACAGTCTCACCAGAAAACTGTATTATTGGCTTGAAAAAAGTATATTTAAATTTTATTTTTAGTTTGCTATACATAAAACATGTTTTACAATATTTGCTAATCACATGTTTTACTCTGAAAAGTAGGAACTGAAATCCTGTACTAATATTTTTGTTAATATTCCTTGAAAGTTTATGAGAAAAAAAGGAAGAAACCATCTCATTCAGAAGACTCGGATTCCTCTTCCAATTCCTCTTCCTCTTCAGAGTCATCCTCAGAAAGTGAGATTGAACATGAGAGAAGCAGAAGAAGGAAACATAAGAGGAGGCCAAAAGTTAAACATTCTAAAAAGAGACGAAGGGAAGCAAGCAGTTCGGAAGAGCCAAGGAATAAACATGCAGTGAGCCCACAAGGGTAGGTGTGAGACCCCAGAAAAGTCTTCTCCAAAACAAACAAATTCCCTGGAATGAGGAAAGCATGTATAATCCTGTAAACTTAGCTTTGCTATCTATTGTTGAAAAAGGAGAGCATTTTTTTTATCAATGGATTTTATCGAGAGAGGAAAGGAGAGAGAGAGAGGTAGAGACATCAATGAGAGAGAATATCGACTAGCTGCCTCCTGCATGCCCCCCACTGGGGACTGGGCCCACAACCTGAGCATGTGCCCTGACCAGGAATCGAACCGGCAACCTCTTGGTTCATGGGTCAATGCTCAACCATTGAGCCACACCAACCGGGCAGGAGAGCATTTTTTTTTAAACTGAAATTGAAATCTGGCAAATCTAGGCCAGAATCTGGCAAATCATAGACATTTCATATCAAAGATTTGTTTGCAGGTGAAAATAATCCCTGAAACTTTTTATTTATTTACTTATTTATTTATTTTTATCCTCACCTGAGGACATTTTTCCATTTTTTGTTCAGGTAGAGTTGAGGGGAAAGAGAGGAAGAGAGAGAGAGAGAGAAACATTCACATGAAAGGGACACATTGAGTGGCTGCCTCCAGCATGACGCAACCAGGGCCGGGGACAAACTGCAACCAAGATACATGCCCTTAGTGGGAACCGAACCCAGGTCTCTGGACCACAGGCCGATGCTCTAACCGCTGAGCCAAACCGGCCAGGGCCCCTGAAACTTTTTAAAAAGTTTGGATTTATTTGACAATTTTCAGAATTTTAGGATTATGGGTTTTCACTTTGGTTGATGTTTTTTATATGTTCTCTTTGAGAAAACTGTATATCCTTTGAGACTTGTAAGGTATCAGTAGTTTTGCTATTTAATAACTAATTTAATATACGTGTATTATTATGGAATGTAAACATTACATATCTTAATTGGTGGCTTGGTATGTTTTCTCTAAGTCACTCTGAGAGAAGTGATACCAATGAAAAAAGGTCTGTCGATTCACATGCTAAAAGGGAAAAGCCTGTGGTCCGCCCAGAAGAAATACCCCCAGTGCCTGAGAACCGATTTTTACTGAGAAGAGATATGCCTCTTGTCACGGTGGAACCTGAACCGTAAGTAGGATGATTAACAAGTATTTTCATTTCTGATTGATGATTTCATCGGCTAATTTCAATTCCACACTCATTTATTGAGCATGCCCTGCCTTTCAAAATTCACATTCTGTTAGTAGGAAAAGGAGGCTGGGCACGTTGATCAGGAGAGAAGTTCTTATTGGAGGCCTGGAAATATTTCATGACTAATCTTATTTCCTTTCTTTGGCTTTTCATGAGAAGTGACATTTTGGTTGTCAGAGTAAGTTAGTTCAACTCTTTGGATCCAGTAGAGTAATAAAAAAAAGATGGAAACAAACCAAGTGACCACCAATAGATGAATGGATAAACAAAATGTGTATATACATCAATGGAAGGTTATTTGGCTATCAATTAGTGGTTACCAGAGGGTGAGGGCATGGGGGACGATGGAGAATTAGTGCTTAATGGGTAGAGTTTTGGTTTGGGGTGATGAAAAAGCTTTGGAAAGATACAGTGATGGTTGTACATCATGAATGTAATTAATACCACTGAATTGTACACTTAAAATGGTTGAAATGGCCAATTCTATGTTATTTATATTGTACCCAATAAAAAGTGCATTTAAAAATGCTCATTAACATAACATCTGATACATAGTAAGTACTCAATAAAAGCTAGCCATTATATTAATAATAACAGATACAAAACAAGCCGAAGTATGGAAAAACTTCTTATGCATGTACCCTCCACAAAAGTCCATGCTCTTAAAATGGCCCATAAGATGAGGCAGCAGCCCTGGCCAGTTTGGCTCAGTGTTTAGAGCATCAGCCTGCGGTCCGGAGAGACCCGGGATCGGTTTCCGCTAAGGGCATGTACCTCGGTTGCAGTTTGTTCCCGGCCCTGGTTGGTCGTGCGGGTGGCAGCCACTCGATGTGTCCCTTTCACATCAAGATGTTTCTCTCTCTCTCTCTCTTCCTCTCCCTCCCTCCCACTCTATCTGAACAAAAAATGGAAAAAATGTCCTCGGGTGAGGATAAAATAAATAAATAAATAAATAAAGATGAGGCAGCAGATTCAGAGCATTGAAGGAGGAGCAGTTTATAGTAGAGAGGTGGAGACTAACGAACTATAAAAATATAAAGTAAAATTTAAATGACTAAAACACAAGTAAGCATCAAAGTCAGGAATAACTCAGGATCCCCTTAGAACATGACTGTTTTGACAGGAGACATCTAAAAGGATTTTGTTCAAAAATAGTACTGCACTTAAAAAGATATTAGTATCATGTATTTCTACCAAGTTGGGTTACTTTTTCTTTTTTTTTTTAAGTTTTAGCATTTAGAGAGTTTGCTTAGAAACCTAGGTTATGTGGAATTAGGTTATATACAAGTGTTGGATCTAAATGAAGTGTTTTTGTATTATAGGAGCATAAATTCTACATGCAAACATTGAGAAAACTGCCTGCGTTCGCTTATTTTTAATTTTCAATCATCTTTTCCAGGAAGATTCCTGATGCTGCACCCATTGTAAGTGATCAGAAACCATCTGTATCAAAGTCTGGACGGAAGATTAAAGGAAGGGGCACGATTGTATGTTTTGTTAAGACATTTTTTTTTTTCTAATTTTTTTAAAAATTATTTTTATTAATTTATTTTTGTTACAGATATTTCTCCTTTTTCCCCCATTGATATCCTCCTCCCTATCCCCCACCCCACCCCACCCCCAACTTTGTTGTCTGTATCCATTGGTTATGCCTACATGCGTATAAGTTCTTTGGTTTATCTCTCCCCCCGCACTCCCTTTTCTGAGGTTTGTCAGTTTGTACCCTACTTCTGTGTCTCTGGGTCTATTTTGTTGATCAGCTTGTTTAGTTAAGACTTTTCTTTTTTCAAATTATCTATGCAGTAAAATATTTTTACCTGTAGGCAAAATCCTACCTTTAATTTTAGGTATAATCCAAACTCTGTTCAAGGGGCTAGTTGCGTTCTCCATAACTATGGGAAGATATTGCTGTTAGATCAGAGTTCACTGCCATGTTTGAATGGGCTTATGTGTGAAATGAATGTACGAAACAGTCAGTGAGAAATCTTAGTATGCTGAATACTCTACCAGGGGTGGGGAACCTGTTTCCTGTCAAGGGTCATTAGATATTTATAACATCATTTGAGGGACATACAAAATTATCAACTTAAAAATTAGCCTGCTATATTTGGTTAGGCTAATTTGGTGAGACATGATGTTTGCTGATATTAATTTCATGGGCCTTATACGGCCCGTGGGCCGGACGTTCCCTACTCCTGCTAGGCTGATGAATGTAACCATTAGGACTTCAAAGTGGAAATTTTCACATGTGATTACAGGTGAATCTCAGCCTTTCCCATTTCTTTTTGTTGCTTATGTTTGATATAACTTCATATCATCCTTTTGGTACTTAAGTCATTATTGCCTTTGAAAGGGTCTGAGATTGGGTCTTATACCTAACTCTGTCCTGTAGTAGACTGTAACTGTGAGAGGTATTTTAAAAATAGTTTTTCTTGTCTTTATTTTTAAAGCGCTATCACACACCTCCAAGATCAAGGTCCTGTTCTGAATCCGATGATGATGATAGCAGTGAGACTCCACCTCACTGGAAGGAGGAAATGCAGAGACTGAGAGCATACAGACCGCCTAGTGGAGAAAAGTGGAGTAAAGGAGATAAGTAAGAGCTTTGAGTACACTCACAATCCTGTGTCTGCTATGTTTTAAGTGTTAAGGAGATAGAGACTTCCTTTTGGACCTGTCATTAAAGATTTAAAAATTTTTTAATCCTCTCCTGAGGATATTTTCCCATTTATCTTCAGATAGAGAGTGAGGGAGGAGAGAGAAATATCTGTGTGAGAGAGACACATTGACTGGTTACCTCCTGCACAACCTGACCAGGGCTCAGGACCGAAAGGCAACCAAGGTATGTGCCCTTGACCAGAATTGAACCCGAGACTCCTTGGTCTGTAGGCTGGCGCTCTAACTGCTGAGCCAAACAGGCCAGGGCTAAAGATTTACATTTAAAATTAGATGATGGCCAGAGAATACATTTGGGAAGATTTGGTGACAGTAGTGCTATTAACCAGGAGGGCTGATGGCTTTGGAGTGCTTTTATTTATTTATTTATTATTATTTAAAAAAATTTTTTTTCTTTATTGATTTAGAGAGAGAGGAAGGGAGAGGGAGAGAAAGGGAGAGGGAGCGAGAGATAGAAACATCAATGAGAGAGAACATCAGTTGGCTGCTGCCTGCATGCTCCCCACTGGGGATTGGGCCCACAACCTGGGCATGTGCCCTGACCAGGAATTGAACTGGTGACCTCTTGGTGCACGGGTCAACGCTCAACCACTGCACTGAGCAACATCTTCGGGGCTTGGAGTACTTAAATCAAAATTCTATTTTTTCCCCTCAGAAGACTATAACCCTACTGAATTTTTTAAATATTTCTTGTTCATATAGCAGGTACTTTCATAGCCAAGTCTCTTAGTCATTGATGAATGAATTGGTAGATAGGAAAATCTGTACCCAGTGTGTTCTTTAACTTCTGACCCCAGGGACTGTTGCTTCTTCAGAAGTGTACCCATCTCTTACCCTCAGTGACACCTCTCAGTGGAATGTTTAGTTTAGAAATGGGGCTGGCCTCAGAATAACTAATGAAAATATACCAATGGAACGCTCTATAATTGTTCGTGTTAAAATTTTCTTTTTCGTGTGGGCGTCTTGCAGCATGTTGGAAATTGGAGAGGAAGGAAGAAGGATACATCTGTGGTGTGGAAGTGTTTAGACACAGTGTTACTGGGAACTCTTGATTTTGAGCCCTGACATTACCAGTGAGATTTTAAAGCCTGCATCTATTTTCATGTACTTTTCGTCAGTTGCTGTAGTAAGTAGTTTAAACCTCAGGAGAAGGTCATGATTACCTTTGTGAGGCTGAGATAAAACAATAGTCTTGCTAGCTTCTTAAGCAAAAGAGGTTCCTCTTATAGTTCAGGTAGCTGTCCTTTATCTGCAGAGAATCAGCAGAACTGTTTGGGAACTTGGTTTGCATGGTTCCTGGAGGCAGAGGGTTATGACCCGATCACAGCCAGGGACTCGGTATGTTAGCAGTGCTCTTGTGATTAGTTGGTTTGGTTTTTGAAACCATTTTACATTTCCCTATTAAATTTGAAATTCTGTGCTTAGCTTTGAAAAAAGATCCTTCTGTAAGTGGCTCTGTTAGCAGTTGTCCATGTGCCTACAGTTGTAAAGTCAGGACCAGTCCAGTCACTGTTTGATTTATCCTTCCTACATGTGCTTACAGTGTTGATAGAACCAATACTTTGTCGTTAACGAGGCTTTTGTCAGTGCATTTGTATAGATAACAAATGTGTTTTAATTTTAAAACATAGAAGCCCTAGCCAGGTAGCTCAGTTAGTTAGAGCTTCATCCTGATATACCAAGATTGTGGGTTTGATTTCTGGTCAGGGCACATACAAGAAGCAACGAATGAATGCATAAATAAGTGAAACAACAAATTGATGTTTCTCTCTCTCTCTAAAATCAATCAATCAATAAATTTTTTTTAAAGTTTAAAACATGCTTGCAAATAATGCATGCATATTACGTTCTTTCCTATAGGTTAAGTGACCCCTGTTCAAGCCGATGGGATGAAAGAAGCTTGTCCCAAAGATCAAGATCGTGGTCTTACAATGGATATTATTCAGACCTTAGTACAGCAAGACACTCGGATGGTCACCATAAAAAACGCAGAAAAGAGAAAAAGGTTAAGCATAAAAAGAAAGCTAAAAAGCAGAAACATTGCAGAAGACACAAACAGACTAAGAAGAGAAGGATTATTGTACCATCTGACATAGAATCCTCAAAATCTTCCACCCGACGAATGAAATTCTCTTGTGATAGAGAAAGGAGATCTCGTTCTTCCTCATTATCCTCTCATCACTCATCAAAGAGGGACTGGTCTAAATCTGATAAGGATGACCAGAGCTCCTCCACCCATTCCAGCAGAGACTCATACAGGTCAAAATCTCACTCACAGTCTTACTCTAGAGGAAGCTCAAGATCAAGGAGCCCATCGAAATCCTCATCACATTCTCGAAGTAGATCTAAGTCCAGATCTAGTTCCAAGTCAGGGCACCAACGGGCAGCATCAAAATCGCCAAGAAGAACAGCCTCTCAGCTAAGTGAAAATAAACCAGTTAAAACGGAACCTTTACGAGCAACAGTGCCACAAAATGAAACCATCGTAGTACAACAGCCAGTGGTGGCAGAACATATTCCTGTGATACCACTGAGTGACAGTCCCCCTCCTTCAAGGTGGAAGCCTGGACAGAAGCCCTGGAAGCCCTCTTATGAGAGAATTCAGGAAATGAAAGCAAAAACAACCCATTTGCTGCCCATCCAAAGCACTTACAGTTTAGCAAATATTAAAGAGACTGGTAGTTCATCATCCTACCATAAAAGAGAAAAAAATTCAGGAAGTGATCGGAGCGCTTATTCAAAATACAGTGATAGAAGTTCAGAAAGTTCCCCAAGATCAAGGAGCAGATCCTCTAGGAGTAGATCTTATTCCAGGTCGTACACAAGGTCACGAAGTGTAGCTAGTTCACATTCGAGGTCTAGATCTCCGTCATCTAGATCTCATTCACGAAATAAGTACAGTGATCATTCACAGTGTAGTAGATCATCTTCATACTCTTCTGTTAGCAGTGATGCTGGAAGACGAGCCAAGAGAACATTTAGATCCAGTGGGAAAAAGAATAGTACTTCAAGTAAGAGACGCAGCAGCAGCTCTGAAAAAGCACTTCGCAAGAAATATGCCAAAGGCCGAGACAAGTCTTCATGTCAGAGAAAGTATAGCGAAAGCAGGTCATCTTTAGATTATTCTTCAGACAGTGAACAGTCAAGTGGTCAGGTGACACAGTCAGCCCAGGAAAAAGAGAAGCAAGTCCAAATGGAAGTGAATAATAAACAAGAGAAGAACAGAGATGGAGAGAAATCCAAGCCTGAACGAGAATGCCCTCGTTCAAAAAAAAGAACTTTGAAAGAGAATCTTTCTGATCACTTTAGAAATGGCAGTAAACCCAAAAAGAAGAATTATTCTGGGAGTAAATGGGACTCGGAGTCAAATTCTGAACGAGATGTAACTAAAAACAGTAAAAATCATTCCCTGCCATCTTCTGATAAGGAGGAAGGTGAGGCCACATCAGACTCTGAATTAGAGTTTGGTGAAATTCACATCAAAGCCAAACCCACAACAAAGTCTTCAGCAAATACTTCACTGCCTGATGGTGATGGTGCGTGGAAGTCAAGCAAACAGCGCTCATCAGCCTCTGATTCTGAGGGGTCCTATTGCAATTCAGAAAACCCTAGAGGAAAGCCGCGGAAGCACAGACACGGGCCAAAGGAAAATCTTAAAAGGGAACACACGAAAAAAGTAAAAGAGAAAATGAAAGGGAAAAAAGACAAGAAACACAAGGCTCCAAAACGAAAACAAGCATTTCACTGGCAGCCTCCACTAGAATTTGGTGAAGAGGAGGAGGAGGAGATTAATGACAAGCAAGTGACTCTGGAGTCACAAGAGAAAAAACAAGTTCCTGAAAACAGTGAAACCGCAAAGGAAGATATCCCCCAGACTGAGAAGCCCTGTGAAGACAGCAGCCTTTCAGACAAGCAGAATACAGTAACGATTTCATCGGACACTGAACAGCCTGCTAAAGGTGATAGTAAACCCAGCATTTCTCCCATACTTTTAACTGCTGAGGAAAATGTCACCAGTTCTCCCCCAGACAGTCAGCATATTGAAGAAAGTGTCCCAAGCAGAGGGGAGGACGTGTTTCAAGCAGATGACAACATGGAGATTTGCACGTCTGATAGGAGTTCCCCAGCGAAGGTGGAAGGAGCGTCCCCTCTAGGAAATTCAAGGCTTGACACCCCAGATACAGGCATTGTTGTAAAGCAGGAAATGCAGACAGAGCATCCCGAGGCAGAGGTGGGGAAACAGGAAAGCAGCTTGTCTGAAAGCCCCACTGTGGGGGAGGTGGGGAAGCCGGACAGCAGCTCTGCAGGCTCAGCCAGTGCTATGGAAAGCGCAGTGAGCAAGGAGGTGGCTGAAAGGGCCCAGGTCAGCCTCCTGGATAATAAGTGGAAGCCCCTGCAAGGGGTGGGGAACCTGGCAGCATCAGCGGCCACCACATCCAGTGCCATGGAAGTTAAGGTATTGACTGCTGTGCCTGAAATGAAGCCACAAGGCTTGAGAATAGAAATCAAAAGCAAAAATAAAGTTCGGCCTGGGTCTCTCTTCGATGAAGTAAGAAAGACAGCACGTTTAAACCGGAGGCCAAGAAATCAGGAGAGTTCAAGTGATGAGCAGACGCCAAGTCGGGATGGTGACAGCCAGTCCAGGAGTCCAAGTCGATCTCGAAGCAAGTCTGCAACCAAATCAAGACACAGAACAAGGTCTGTCTCCTACAGTCACTCAAGAAGTCGATCTCGAAGTTCCACATCATCTTATCGGTGAGCAATGTTCTCTCTCCTTTTTTTCTCCCAAAGAGAGTCTGTTATTGTTTTTAGCTTGGACGAACGTCAGAATTAGGGACAAGATCACTATTTCCAAATATCTGGAAGGTGAATAAGAAGTCTTGTGCTGTGTGACTCAGAGAGCAGATTGAGGACAGGGAGTAGATTTCAGGGTAGAAGTTGGGGCTCAGTGTGAAAAGCTCTCACTTTCTATTGAAGCTCTCTGGCAGTGGAAATCAGTTGCCATGCGAAGTGGCAAGTTCTCTGTCTTTGAAGGTGTGATTTAGAGATCGTCAGTCTAACCCTCCACTTCACACAAGTGGGAGGTGAGGACCAGAGAAGCAAAGTTGCCTGCTCAAGACAAGCATCTAGTTGATTTTTTTTTTTCAATTACAGTTGACATTCAGTATTATTTTCTATTAGTTTCAGGTGTGCAGCATAGTGGCTAGACAATCATATACTTTATTTACAAAGTGTTCTCCCTGTACTTCTAGTACCCATCTGGCACCATACCTAGTTATTACAGTATTATTGACTATATTCCCTATGCTGTACTTGACATCCTTGTGGCTGTTTTCTAATTACAAAATTTTACTTCTTAATCCCTTTACCTTTTTCATTCAGTTAGTTGATCTTTCATGGTAGGGTGGGGGTGGGAGGATGCGACAAACGATCATTTTGGATTTAGATTTAGTTAGTTAGTTTTTAAGTTGTATCTTATTTTTGTCATCAGCATAGACTGAGATTTTTTAAAAACTAAAAAGTGATGGTGATATGAATAAATAATTTGTGTTCTTTGCATTGTCAATATTTCTTGGTTTTACCTGTCTCTTAATTACTCCTATCCCTTATTATATTATGCTTGATTCATCACCTGAACATATAGTAATAGTCTTTGACTGTTTTTTCCTTTCTAGTTATTTATCAGTCTTTGTCTCCCCTTACCCAGATTTCTTTAAAATCAGGAAACAACACTTGCCACCTGTAGTAACTGTCTCCCATTTACTCCTCAGTTGCTCGCAATGTGTCTTCCATGCTTCCTCCATCTCACTAAACTGACAGGTTTTCAGGGACTTCTGCATGGCCAGTTTTTGGTCCTCACCTTCTGGAAGCCCTCTGCTAACTCTCCTCATCCCTGTCAGACCATTCCATGCTTGTGTTGTGAGCGCCTCTCCCTCCTTCTGCCCTGACTTCCAACAGGCCCAGAGAGCTGATGAATCCAGCCTCCTGCCTGCTCAACATCTGCCTTCCCATTTACACTGATAGCTCTGAGCTATTAGTGATGCTGGCCACTCCCATTTAAGTACCTTCCTACCTTCAGGGTGGGTGGTATTTCATTTTATAAATGAAGACAGTGAGGCATAGAGAAGCTAAGGAATTTGCTCTGAGCTTTTCAGCTAAGGGTAGTAGACTGATAGAGCTAAACTTTGCCTCCCTGTTTTGGTTACCCACCTGGGCCTGACTCCCCTGCTAGGCTGTGAACTAGTTGAAGCCAGGGACTGCCTTGAAGAACATCTTGGTCCTGTCCAAAACATTCATGGAGACATTTGGTCCATATCTTCTGATTTGCCTAACCCCGTGTACCATTACCAGCTAGGCGACCAAGGTGAGCCACACCGTAATTATTGGACCACTAAAACATGATAGTATTTTTTATTATTATTATTTTTTATCCTCACCCGAGGACACTTTTTGCATTTATCCTCAGGTAGAACGGGAGGGAGAGAGGGAGGAAGAGAGAGAAAGAGAAACATTGATGCGAGAGAGACACATCAACTGGCCGTCACCCCCATAACCCCAACCGGGTCGGGGTCAAACCACAACTGAGGCACATGCTCTTAGCAGGAACTGATCCCAGGACTCTCTGGTCCACGGGTGGATGCTCTGACTGCTGAGCAAGACTATCCAGGGTATGATAGTATTTTGTTTTCTTTATTGATTTTAGCAGGAGAGGAAAGGAGAGGGAGAGAGAGATAGAAACATTGATGAGAGAGAACATCAATTGGCTGCCTCCTGCATGCCCCCCGACTAGGGATCGGGCCCACAACCTGGGCATGTGTCCTGACCGGGAATCAAACCAGCGACTTCTTGGTGCATGGGTTGACACTCAACCACTGAGCCACACCAGCCAGGCATGATAATATTTTTAATGTATTAAATAAAAAATATAAATAGCCCTGTCCAGTGTGGCTCAATTGGCATACACTGAAAGGTGGAGGGTTCAATTCCTGGTCAGGGAACATACCCAGGTTGCAGGTTCAATCCCTGGTCGGGGTGTATACAGGAGGCAGCCGATCCATGTTTCTCCCTCACATCCGTGTTTCTCTCTCTCCCTCCCTCCCTTTTTCTCTCTAAAATCAATAAACATGTCCTCAAGTGAGGATTTAATATATGTAAGTAATTATGTGTGTGTGTGTGTGTGTGTGTAAACATGAGCTCTCTGAACCCAGGGACATTTTTTAAGTGTGTACAGACACAACAATTGGTTGCCTCCCACACAACCCCGACAGGGGCTGTGGATTGAGCCTGCAACCCAGGTACGTGCCCTTGACCAGGAATCAAACCTGCAACCCTATGGTCTGTGGGCCAACACTCTAACCACTGAGCCAAACCAGCCAGGGCTAAGCATGTACGTTTTTGACAGGACCATATATCAAGGACCATTTGGCATCAGCTAGACATGCTTATGGACATTTTTTGATGGACTAGACGTCTGCTAATCAAGAGACTATTCCCTATTCATTTTTCAGTTACCTCAGTGTCTGCTTTATAATTGTTTGCTGGGTAGAGGACTAGAATCTTTTTTTTTTTTTTAATCTGTATTGTTGAATGTAAAATGTATTACAGATGTTCCACATTTTTCCCCTATTGGCCCCCTCCTCCTCCCCACTCCCGCCCCCCTCCCACCTTTCCCCACACTGTTATCCGTGTCCATTGGTTATGCATATAAGTTCTTTGGTTTATTTCTTCCCACCCCCGCAACCCCTTTCCCTTTGAGGTTTGTCATTCTAGCAATGAATTTGTACTTCTTAATCTCTTCACCTTTTTCACCCATTCCCCCAATCCGCCCCCCCAACTGGCAACCAACAAAATGTTCTCTGTATCTATGAGAATGTTTCTGTTCTACCTGTTTATTTTGTTTGTAGATCCCGTTGTTGATAGATATGTATTCATTGCCATTTTGTTTGTTCATATATTTTATCTTTTTCTTCAAAAAGACCCTTCATCATTTCATATAATAACGGTTTGGTGGTGATGAACTCCTTCAACTTTTTCTTGTCTGGGAAAGTCTCTATATGGCCATCGATTCTAAATGACAGCTTTGCAGGACAAAGCAATCTTGGTTGTAGGTTCTTGCTTTTCATCACTCTGAATATTTCTTGCCACTCCCTTCTGGCCTGCAAAGTTTCTTTTGAGAAATCAGCTGACAGCCTTATGGGAACTCCCCTGTAGGCAACTAGCTGCCTTTCTCTTGCTGCTTTTAAGATTCTCTCTTTGTCTTGAACCTTTTGCATTTTGATGATGATGTGTCTTGGTGTGGGCCCCTTGGGGTTCATCCCGTTTGGGACTCTCTGTGCTTCCCAGACCCGTATGTCTGTTTCCTTCACCAAGTTAGGAAAGTTTTCCGCCACTACTGTTTCAAACAGGTTTTTGATTTCTTGTTCATGCTCTTCTCCCCCTGGCACCCCCAAGATGCGAACGCTGGCACGCTTGAAGCTGTCCCAGAGGCTCCCTACACTATCCTCATTTTTTGGGGTTCTTTTTTCTTTTTGCTGTTCTGATTGGGCATTTCCTGCTTCCTTATATTCCAAATCAATGGTTAGCTCCTTGGATTTACATACTCTATTATTGAATCTGTGTAAGTTATTCTTTATTTCAGTTAATGCCTCCTTCAATTCTAACTGTGCATCCATCATTTCTGACCAGTCCTTCCTTATGCTCTTGAGGCCCTCACCAAGTTCATTGAGGTTCTCACTGAGTTCATTGAGCATCCCTGTAAGCAGTACTTTGAACTCAGCATCTGCTAGGTTGCTCATCTCCATTTCGCTTAGTTCTTTTCTTGGGGTTTTGTTCTGTTCTTTCACCTGGGACCTGTCTCTTTGTCTCCTCACTTTGGCTGCCTCCCTGTGTTTGTTTCAGTGTATTACTTAACGAGAGGTATGGGGCTAGCTGAGACCAGATGCTGCTCATTTGAAAGAATTTAGGAAAAACCTGAAGCAGGATCCAAGACAGGCCAATCCTATGGTTAAGCAAGTGGCAACAGCTTGGGTGGGCCTGAAAGTTGGGTGGGCCTGAATGTTGGGTGGGCCTGAATGTTGGGTGGGCCTGAATGTTGGGTGGGGCGGGGCGGGGCCTCAGGGAGTCACCAGGGCAGGGCCACCAGTGTGAGCCAGGTTGCTGGAGTCCCAGATATGGCTTCTGTCTGCTGCCCCAGGGAAGGGCTCACCAAAGGAACAAAGGCCTCTGACAGCACGTTTGTCCCGGAGAAAGCCCCCTCTCCAGCCCTCGCTCCAGTGCCAAACAGCTCAGTTCTTCCCTGTATGTCTCTGGTGCCCCTCGAGCTGCCTCCCCTCCGAGCTTAGAGGGAGAGAGTCCGATAAGTCCGTGCGCGGGCCCTTTAAGGAGCTGCCTGGGGCTCCAGCCGCTTCAGCTTCCCTGAGCCTCACTTCCCGTTGGTTTTTCCAGCCAGAAGTTATGGGGATTCTCTTCCTGGCACTGGAACCCTGAGCGGGGCACCTGGTGTGGGACGGGGACCCCTCAGTCCTCAGGAAGAACCTTCCCAGCCGAGGTGTCCTCCTGATTTTTATCTGCCACACGTGGGTGTGGGACCAGCCCGTCGCACCGCTGCCCCTTCTACCAGTCTGGATGTGGCTTCTGCTTTAATTCCGTAGTTGTAGGACTGCCATTCAGCTTGATTTCAGGCGGACTTGAATGATGGTTGTTCTGTAGTTTAGCCGCAACTTTGATGTGGTTGTGGGAGGACACATACCGTGTTTACCTACCCGCCATCTTAACCGGAAGTCAGGACTAGAATCTTATTAGAAGAACATAATGTTTTCAAAACTGCATAAAACCTGTGATGTATTACACAAGTAGCCTACATGTAGGGCTACTGTCCTGATTCTGAGTAACAGGTGTTAAGTTGGGGAAGAAAGGCAGGGGCCAGGTGAATGCACAGGGCAGGATGGTGTTGCTTATGTTGTGTTTGTTTTATTAAATACCAAATAGATAAAAAAATAAGTGATTAAGGTATAAAAAGTAAAATTAATTTAAAATGTCATCTAATCTGCCCGGCTGGTGTGGCTCAATGGATTGAGCATCGTCCCATGGACTGAGAGGTCCCGGTTCGATTCCTGGGACCTAGGAATTCCATGCCTAGGTTGCTGGCCTGATCCCCAGTAGGGGGCGTGCAGGAGGCAGCTGATCATCAGTGTTTCAGTCTCTCCCTTCCTCTGTCTTAAAAAATCAATAAAAACATTTAAAATGTCATCTAACTTAAAAAATAGAGTTATGACATCCCTGATGTAGCCCTGCCCATGCTACCTTACTTTTTCTCTTCTCTCCTAGATTTAAACATTATTCTAAACTCTTATTATAGTTGGTTTTTCTTCATAGTTTTACCATGAATGTTTCTGTCCTTATACAGTGTTGCTTTTGCATGCTTTCAAATAAAATTCACATATATATGTGTGTGTGTGCGTGTGTGTGTTCTATATTTGCCTTTTCACTCAACATTATGTTCCAAAGAGATAGATCAGTTGATACATGAGGCTATCTCTTTCATGCTCCTGCTTTAGACTATATCAGTATATAACTGCACATTATTTTTTTCAACCCATTCTTCTGCTATTACTAATGGGGCTTCTGTAAACATACCTGTACCAGCCTTTCCTGGCTTTTCTTTGTTTCATTCCGTTCAATTTAAACCTTTATTAGCTGTCACTGTCACCCCCACTGTGAGGAGTTCATAAGAGACTTTTCCAACAACCTTTCCTCTTCCTGTGTTTTCCACTTCCTGCCTTATAAGTAATTAATTTTAGCAGCATGGGGAGTTGATATAATTATATTTTTCTCTTAATTTCTCTTGATCTTAAAGATCAAGAAGCTACTCCAGAAGTCGGAGCAGAGGCTGGTACAGCAGAGGCCGAACAAGAAGCCGGAGCAGTTCCTCCCGCAGCTACAAGAGCCATAGGTGCGTTTGCATACCCCTCCTCCTCTGTGGTCCCATCCTTTCTGCTTTTCAAGGCCTGTCCTTGCTGAATGCCAGTCAGGCCTATTTTCTCACCTAGTTCTTCTTTCAAAGCAGGATCCGATTCTTACTGGTTATTCTCAGGATGGGATCTTCCCAGAATAAGGGAAGAGACAGAGTAAGAGAGGCCCTAACCGCTACCTCTATCTCCTTCCCACCCCTGGTACATCTTCCTTAACCCAAGTTCACATCTGCAGTCACCTCTTGACTTAGGTTAGAGAATGGGATAGGAGGGCTTTTAAAGGGGGACCAAAGGAAAAAGTAGGCCTCTCGGGTATTTTCCACGGCTGCAGCTTCATTTTCCACTAAGTGTCCTACTTGGGTAGACCTTTCTTCCCTCCCCCACCCCATTAGAGCCTCCTCAGTGACTTTTTTTAAAAATTGAATTTATTGGGGTGACATTAATAAAATTATACAAGTTTCAGGTATACAATTCTACAGTACCTCATCTGTATATTGTATTGTGTGTTTACCACCCCAAGTTACCCAGTGACTTCCTTTAGGTGCACTTCATAGAAGAAGAGCATAATCTTTCTTACAAAATCAAACATGCTTTTTAAAATTTCCAATATGCTTTTGATATAAAGACAAAATCAGTAGAGCTGCTAGATTTCACTGTGTTTTCTTCTTGATGGGCAAATAAGTGTCTAGAGGTTTGATGTAGCCTGCCATGATCCCAAAGATGACGGTCCCTCCTGTGATTACTACTAGGACGTCCAGCAGGAGCAGGTCCAGGAGCAGCTCGTATGATCCCCACAGTCGGTCCAGGTATGCACAGGGATTGGGTGCCACCTGCAAGGCAGAATTGAGAGGCCTTGCTTTATAAAACCCTTAATTCCCTTTTAAAAGTGTTGTATTTTATTGAGAAACTTTAACACATTTATTTTTCTCATGAACTCATACCCTTTATAAATGAGGTCTTTTTGAGAGTTTCTTTCTATTGGCCCATTGTACTCTAGTGTTGAAAGGGACAATTGATGTCAAATTGTAATGGCAGGTGCTTATTGAATATAATTGCCTAATATCCACTAGATTCAACCAACTAACTCAGTGTTAATTTTGTGATATTTTTCAATGCAGAAAAGAAATTAACATTTTTCTGTTTAATATGGTAAGTCGGATTTGGGGCAGTTGTTAAATGTTTTCAGTACTTGTTATGCAAATGTGTCTCACACTGTCACATAGTACCCATGTTTTAAGAGAACACTCTTAAGCGCCTGAAAAGAAATGGGACTATCTGAGTGTTTGAATAAGAAACCTTAGTGTTTGTTGTTGCTGTGAAAGCAGGTCCTACACTTACGATAGCTACTACAGCAGGAGTCGCAGTCGCAGTCGCAGCCAGAGGAGTGACAGCTACCACCGAGGCAGAAGCTACAACAGGCGGTCCAGGTGGGTCCCTCCCAGAGCACAGACGCTCCTGTGGCACTTGGTGTGCGAGGCAATAGACTTAGGAGAGAAAGCATAATCTTCTTAGGACAGAAATCCTTTTTCCTCTTCTCGAATTTCAGCAACTCACAGGCACCTACTAAATGTGGCCTTTGTATTAAGAGTTGCCGAGGAATGTTTGTTGGTTATTGTTAATGTTTGAATCTAAAATGGATTTTTAAATATTCACATATCCTTAGACAAACATTTCTCTTGGAAGGAGTAAAGAGAGAAATCCACCCAAATCATGGCCCACTTTTTTAAATAGGGCTCATTGCTAGAAATAGCAAAGCCAGTTTGTCAGTTTTTTAAATAAACAATTGTATAATGTCATAATCATTTGCTTCAGCAGCAGGATTGAGGTTTACTTCTTATCACTTATTTGGAGAAAATGTGTTTTTCATATATTATATTTACAAATAGTATGTTTTATGTAACATTTTACCTGGTACTGCAAATTTTTATGGTGATTTTTGTAATGTTCCTTTCCTAGTGGCTTTCGGTCTTACCCTTCCCCATGCACTTCAGGGACAGTCAGTGATCCTTGTATAATGTCATGATATGTAATATGGACACTTCCTTGTTCAGAACTCTTCAAGGGCTCCGTCCACACTGCCCCCTGGGGAGGTCCAGGCTCTAGCATTGTACCTAAGGCCTCTCCACCTACAACTCCAGCCCAGACATTTCTGTCTTCCCCGCTCTAACATGCTTGAACCTTTGCTTCTGCCTAGAGACACCCTCACCACTGCCCCGCCCCGAAATGGCCAGTCCCCACCTACCCTGCACATCTCACTGCAACCAACTCTCCCAGAAAGCCTTCCCTGACCACTAGCCCTGAGTTGTGCCACCACACCCTGTGTGCCATATCTGTCCCCTATTCTGTATTGTCCTTGAGCCCCCGGGAACAATACTTGCAATACTTGCTGTGTGTGTGTGTGTGTGTGTGTGTGTGTATGTGTCTGCGTGTGTGTGTGTGTCTGCGTGTGTGTGTGTCTACGTGTGTGTGTCTGCGTGTGTGTGTGTCTACGTGTGTGTGTGTCTACGTGTGTGTGTGTCTGTGTGTGTGTGTCTGACTGCTATTTGGCAAAGTGCCTGGCTCTCAGTGAATATTTTTTAAACTAACTGGATGGTAACATGTCCTCTTGAGTCACTGTCCCAGTGTTCCTGTCCATACCCTCACCCTCATTGGGCACCATTTTGATGTCCGGATCTTGTTTTTGTTTTTTTTTAATCCTCAGCCGAGGACATTTTTCCATTTTTTGTTCAGACAGAGTGGGAGGGAGAGAGAGGAAGAGAGAGACAGAGAAACATCGACGTGACAGGGACACATCAAATGGTTGCCTCCCACATGACCCAACCAGGGCTGGGGACAAACTACAACCAAGGTACGTGCCCCCTTAGTGGGAACCAAACCTGGGTCTCTGGACTGCAGGCCGATGCTCTAACCGCTGAGCAAACCGGCCAGGGCTGATTTCCAGATCTTGAATGCAACTCTCTTCATGCACCTCTTCCCTCACTTCCTCAGTCTAATTAGATATCGATGTTCATCTGGGTAACAAGGAAAATTACTCTGCTCATTTGCACAAGTGGATTTCAAGTGATTTCCCAAGATGTGATGTTTCTTTATTTTATCTTAACCTTGATATTGCTACTATCTATCATTTAAAACATCACTGAAAAGTCCACAGTGTCACTACAGTCAGCACCCCACTGGTCTGCCCACTGTGCTGTGTGCCGCGTCAGTACTGCTGAGGGTCGACGGCTAAAGGTGTCATGTGTTTGTTTGTTGTGCAGGAGTTGTAGATCTTACGGCTCCGACAGTGAAAGTGACCGAAGTTACTCTCATCACCGGAGTCCCAGTGAAAGCAGCAGATACAGTTGAAATGTCCCCCTTTTTGATACGAATTATATCTTATTTGTAAATATCTGGTAACTTAAAAGTTTAAAAAACTTAATGGCAGTCTGTTGTTCTGTTTCAATATTAGAGATGAATTTAAAAAATAGACACTTCTTAATTGTTATTTGTTCATTTACTTGTGCACAGAATTTAAAATACAGATATGTCTCCTAAAATATTTTTATGCCACATTTTACAGTAGCCAACTATGGAAGTTAATTTCATTTTCTTGAATCAAGAAACCATGAAATTTTAGTATAATTTGCAATATTATTTTAGATAGACTTTTTCTCTCCATCTCATGTATTCCTTAGAATACAGATTCTTTTTGCCCATTTTTCAGATTTTAGTGTGTTGCTGCCAAGCACAGACCTGTGGAAGAGAACTTTTAAAGGTGGCCAAATGTTTATATACTGATTACAGAGTCTAATACTTATGTGCTCTTAAAAACAAACCACCCAGACTGATGCTGATGGTAGCCAGGAGTAGGAGGCAGTGGCTTTGGGGCTCTTGCTCGTTCCTTCTTTGTTGTCTTGGAGCAGGAAAGTGGTCATCACACATCCGCGTCTATTACTTCATGCTGGCAGGCGAGGTTCAGAAGAATAAATCAGCCTTAACTCTTAAGTACCTGCACTGGCTCTGAGGACCTAATGTTTTATGTGCTTTCTAGTAAGTACTTTCAGAAGTTCAGCCTGTGCAAACTAAGTCTGCTCCACTTCACCCATGGTGCTTGGTGCCTTTTGGTGCCTCTGAAGCATTGTTCTTCTGTCTGATACATTACAGTCTCAGGAGAGAGCAGTTAAAACATTGTGTTCACTGGCACCGATGGTTCCTTCTGAGCTGTGTTCACTTGGAATAATTGGAGGGATTCTCTCAAGCCACAGAAGTGGGCTGGGGGTCTCCTGGGCCAGGCAGGATTGGCATTAGGGACTGTGCGGCCACTCGGGTCTACTGCACATGGCTGACATGTATGCCTCTGGAAGAGTGGATTGAAGAAGGGACTTCAAAAGTAACACCAAACTGTAACTGCCACCGTCCTGGACATTTTGGGGGCTTTTTAGTTTTTCAAGAGATAGATAGTAGAACGGTTCTAAGCGCCAGCACATTTTCCCTGGTTCCGCTGTGCCCCCCACTGACTGAAGCCTGGCACGATAAGTAAACAGGACAGCAGACAGGGAGAGGGTTTGGGACTGCACGAAGTACACATTTTCACAGTTCCGGGTGGTTTCTCCAAAAATGGTTTGACCTGTAAAAACCAGTGTGATTTTTTTGTTTTTTGTTCTTTTTTAATCTAGTTGGAGTTTTTCCACAAGTGTACTTAATCACCATAGTGCCAGTTTAGTCCAGTTATGCAGAAGAAATTCATATTGGATGTTTGATGTAGAACTCTGTGCCATCCTACCCCAGGTGCACTTGGGAAGGGGAAAGAGCCCTCAGTTGGAGGGACCTGACAACCCTTGATGGGTGGAGGGATGACCTTGGATTTTTCAAACCATTACCCATAAAAGGTTCATAAACAGGGTTAAGGGGTCAGTTGTTTGCCAAGTTGATAGATGAGAGTACATTAGAAAACAGGACCAAAGTCAGACAAATGTACTTCCTAGTGAATAAAACATGTGATTCATATGAAGGGTTTTCAAAAGTTGCCTGCAATGCAGAATATTGCTTTAATAAAACTCAGTGGAAAAAAACTGCATTCAGAACCCAAACAAAAACTGCCAAATCTAATTATGTTAAGAAAAACTACCCTTAGGCAGTGTATTGGTTTTCTATTGCTTTGTAAATAATTACCCCAAATTTAGCAGCTTAAAACAATACCCATTCCTTAGCTCACAGTTCTATAGCTCATAATCTGGCTTGGTTGGCTGGATTCTCTGCTCAGGGTCTCACAAGGCGAAACCAAGGGTCCGCAGGGCAGCGTTCCTGTGTGGAGGCTCTAGGGAAGAAGCTGCTTCCAAGTTCATTCAGGTGGTTGGCAGTGTTCTGTTCCTGTCAGGGGCCTTAGCTCCTTAAGGCGGGTCAAATTCTGTGTGCGCTCCCCTTCAACTTCAAACCAGCCATGGCCCATCGAGTCCTCATGCTTCAGACCTCTCTGCCTTCCTCCTGTTTTCAGGTTCACATGATTAGATCAGACCCACTGAGCTAGTCCTCCCTATTTTAAGGTCATACAACATATCACAGGAGCCATGCCCTGTTCACAGGCTCCTGGGTTGGGGCATGGAATGGAGCAGGGGCATTTTAGAATTGTGCCGACCACAGGCACTGGCGTTGCCCATGGGGTCCCGGGGGGAGTTTATCCTGAGAAGGTGAGCCCTGGAAGCTTCATTTTTCTCCATGGAAAAGAACAGCCCTCAGCTGCAGCCTTCAACTTGTGTGTTTACTGAATGAACTACAGAGACAGCTTTCTTCCTAAGGGGATTATTCTGTATTTTAAGTTATTTTTTAATAAAATCGAATTATGTTGTGTATTGTGCTTCTTAATAGAAAATGCATTATTGGACTGTTTTTTGTAACATCCTATTTACTGCAAATGAAACATGATAGAGCTGGTATTGTTTAAAAACTAGAAAATACTTTTGTACATATCGGCAATGTGTAATTTGTATACACTTCATTTAAATTCCCCAAAACATGAAAGGGATCTTGTAGAAATTAAAATATATACTTAGTCTATGTCTGAGTCTGTGCATGTGTCATTGTTTGTACTCATCCACACTCCAACTAGTCTTTTTGAAGGAAACCTTGAGTCTCTACTGACCCGTCTCGGGCTCGTTTTCATCTTGTCGCTGAGCAGTAGCGATGGGCACGAAGTGCAGCTGCAGAGAACTTGGGGTAGAGATGTCCACCTCTCCCCAGAGCAGCACTGACGGTGCGTGGTGTCCCTGTAACTCCAGAGCTGCTCCAGGCTTTGCTGCTGTCACCCAGCTGTGCCCTGCGTGCAGCTGTCTGCTGAGGAAGGAAGGCATCCCATTCCATGTGCCCATTGCTGCCTGGGAACAGCACCTTTACCTGCTGACCCGCCTGCCAGCCTCCACACCCCCTCCTAACTGGTCACCAGCGGGCATATGGCCCTCCCTCCTGGGGGAACTCGGGTATTTTTAGCAACCACAGGAGGATTTTCAGGGCAAGTACAATTAACTTTTTTCTCCTCGGGACTCCAAGGAGTTTGTATTTGCTTAGTGAATACAACAACCTCACAGTAAGACTTGGCAGAGATTCTGTTTTAATTCACTAATCAGTAGACCGCCCCCCCCCCCCAAGTCAGGCAGTTCCTGATAATAGTCCAATCTGGATGTGCTGATTTAAAATTTAAAGAAAGGTCGGCTGTGGAAAATCCCCAGTGCGGTTCCTTCAGGGTCTCGTTTTCTAGGGAGCTCTGGGATCTTCTGATAGTGACCGACTGCATCAGCTGGGTGGTAGTGGGGAAACGAGTCCAGGGCTTTGGCCTTGACTACTGTCCTGACAGCTGGGCACCGAATGGGAGGTGAGGCGTCAAGGCAGTGCCCCTCACCCAGACCGGGAGCGCTGCTGGACTGTCTGGAGGGGACCGAGGTCCTGCTCAGTGAGCAGCCTGCACGTTAGGCTCTGCGGCCAGGTGAGGGGTCTGGAAGAAGGAGGCCGTTGACTGCTGCCGCCCGTGGTGACAGGCCAGAGCCTGAAGTCCCTGAGAAACTCGTGATGGAAGGAGCTGGGAAGGGTGCCTAGAGGACCCCGCTCGCTCGGCAGGGAGAAGTTCGGTGATGCTGTGAAGGCGGCCTGCAGGCGCCGTGCCCTGAGAGGTGGTACCTGTTTGCCCCAGGACAGACGGGGCAGCTCCAGTCCGTGCCCGAGGCAGACAGGCAAGCAGAGCTGCACAAAGGGGCAGGAGGCTGGGATGGTCTTGAAAGATTTCCGTTGAAAGGGGCAATGCCTCCTTGCCCATACCTCCTCCTGGTGAACTGGAAAGCTCCCAGCGGGGCAGGGAAATCCCAGCTGACCTGGGCCCTGCTGGGTGGGGGAGCCTAGTTCTCCGGGTGTGGAGCTGGAGGGGGGTGGCTTATGTTCTGCCTCCACTGAGCTTGGCATTAAAGGCTACAGCTGCTGGGGGTGGGGCCCTAATTCAAACCAGCAGGTTGCTGTTCCCTCCCAGATCCCTCCCGCAGCACAGACGTCATGGCCTTGGCATTCGAGGCCTCCCTAGCTGCATCCAGGATCCTCTCCCACCGGTGGGGTCAAGGGACCCCAGGCTTCGTTAATGATTGAGCCTGGCCCTCCACGTGAAACCGCGGGCCTCCTCCCCTCCTGGAGGCAAGCCCAGGGGCCAGCGTCCCTGAACCCCTTGGCCCTGTGCTTGGTTCTAAGCACTGAATCCTTAGCAGGTCTAGGAGGGAGGAGGCCTTAGTATCCCCATTCTTCAGAGGAGCTGAGTTATAAAAGCCAAGCGATTTCTCTAGTTACCCAACTTTTAAAAGTGACAGAACTTGAACCCAGGCAGTCTGGCTCTGGGCCAAAACCCTTAAGGCCTGCCACAGAATAGCTGCTCTTCGGGGTCCTTTATGTCTTCAAAATAAAACCAAATTAGGCCAAAGGCATCGCGGCCAGTGAGATCCCTTCTCAGGGAATCTGGCCTGGTGGTAGGTTTCAGTTGCAGGAGGCCCTGGATGAACTGGGCTGAGGCGCCAGCCCAAATGGCCACTCTGCTCCCTCCTTCCCTCACCTCAGCCGCAGCAGCTACACTGCTCCAGGCTCCCCAGGGAGGCTGAGCACAGACACACACACCCCCGCCCTGGCCTGGTCTTTCCAGGTTCAGTAGGGGTGAGTCTCGTTTCTGAGCCTGGGAGGCGCTTGTTTGGGTCTGTTCCTCCTCCCCAACATGGGAGAAACTTGGGACTAAGGGATGTTGTGAGATAACCTGACTTGGCCTTAGAGGCGGGGGCGTGGCTGCTGATCTCACCAGCCCCCAGCCCCCAGTATTCGCTCCTCAAGCCCTCATCCCCATAAACTCCTGGCTCCCCACTGGGGCATGCCATTCTGGCCCACGATCCCCCTCCCCAGCAACCCAGTCTCACCCCACCCTCCAGAAAGCCTGCCTTGACTGGGCCTGAGGTGAAGCGCCCATGGCATGGCCCTTGCCATGGTCCAGAGGGCAAAGCTGCCTGTCTTCATCGGGCCAGACACTCCTGCCCGACAAACGTTTGGACTCCATGGCGTCAAATCACCGCTAGGCCCCTGCAGATGCTAACCTGCCTCCTGGCCTTTGCCGGTGTTCTCGGCCTGGAGTGCCCTTCCTCTCCCTCTGCTCTAGCTCATGTCCATTCGACCTGGGCCTCAGCTCTGAGCAGCCCCATGGGAGCCACCAGGCGAAGCTCCTCACGCAGCCTCTCCCTTCCAGTTCTAGTGTGACCCAAGTGCCAATAGCCTCTCACAGGGCTCAGGCTCTGCCCGGGCTCCCCCAGATGGGCAGGGGCCAGAGAAGCAAGGGGAACTGCTGGGGTCTTCATGGAGACGGAACACCCCGCCTCATTCCCTCCCTTTTCACCCAACCTCTTGCCCCTCCTTCGGCTTGATTGCTGCAACCAAGGCCAATCCCAGAGGGGCCAGCAGCCCTACCTTGGTCACGCTGGCCTGCCAAGCCATGACTGGGAAGTGGGCCCAGGAGTGTTCCTGGTCTTCTCTGCCAGGCTCCTCCCAGCCGTGGGGGAGGACACCTTGCCCAGCCTCCCCTTTCCTTGGCTCCTGATACTGGTGCCTGGCTGTGTGATTTGTTCTGCTCTGGGCCTCGCTGTTTTTATCCAACCAAAGGCTACATGATCCCTCCCTTGCCACCTCCCAGGCTGGCGCTGGGACCCACTGAGTCAGATGAGGAAATGGGTTGGGAGGGAAAAGGCAGAAGCTGATGGGCTAGTGTTGCATGAAAGCTGGTGTGGTCTGGCCTTTGCCTGAGACCTCTGGGAGCTGAGCCGGCCTTTATGCACCTACCAGGACCACAGAAGTGCAAAATGTTTGCAGTGACTGCCTCTGGGGACACGTGCCCATCTGTGCCCCTTCCTCTCTCCCCCTCTCTTTTCCCACCAGGTCTCTCCTGACCCTCCATCCGGCTGTGTGCATTCCTCCCTCCCCTTCCTCTTGGCACTTTTTAGTCACCCACATCTTTGCCCTCAAGGTGTTTTCTCCCGGGCTCTGGGATGCCCTCGTCATAAGAGCCTCCCCATTCTGGTCTTAGGGGAGGCCCATACAATCTTGTGTGACAGACCATCAGACTACAGGATGGTGCCTGCCTGGGATCTTGGCTTCTGCTCCATTTTCCCTTGGCACCCAGAGCCAAGTTACTCTGAACAGGCCCCAGAGTCCCTGCCCACCTATGAGTAAGGTGCATACGCAAATGGACACTGCTGCAGCTGGGCACGGGCTGGTGCGTAAGCACAAGCGCGTGTGTGTGGGGGGAGGGGTGGGAGACTGGGTGGTACTGTCAGGAGGGGGCAACAAGAGGGTGATGGAATGTGGGGCAGCAGTCAACTTGGGGTGAGGTGGGGGTGGTACATTTGAATGATGACGGCCACATGAGCGACCCGCAGAGGTCCCCTCTCCACAGTGGTGGCCCAGACACCATCTGGGTCCTGCCAGGCCCAGCGCCCTGTGGTCTGCACTCTGCTGCCTGCTCAGCCTGGCAGCATTCCTTTGTAGGCTCCTGCCAGCCCCGCCAGCCCCCTGCCCCCACTGGTGTCCATGCCAGAGCAGCATTCCGCAGGCCTGGCTGCATCTCCCCAGCAGAGGCTGAGCAAGGAGGCTACTGAGCAGCCGTCAGGTCACAGGGGGGCTGGGGGCACAGGGGGGCCGGGGCCTCTGGACCTCACTCCTCTTGTCTCTCCACCGGGTCCTGGGCCGCTCACGTTAAAGGGTTTGATCACTACAGCTGGGGTCCGGTTGTTGCTCTCTCCTGACCTAGGTGGAGCTGTGCAGCCGGAGGAGGCCGCCGGGTAGGTACAGGTCGGCCAGAGAGCCAAGTCCTGGAGGCATAGAACAAAATGAGCCCTGGGCTGCCCTGGGATGGGGTAAGGGGCCCGGCCCGTTGGGGATCCCAGACTCACCCTCGGATTAGAGCAGCCCAGGCCAGAGGGTGGGGGCGATGAGCCGGCTGGGGTGCCGGTTCTGTTCCTCAATGTGGGATCGCTCAGGGGAGCAGGTGGGAGCTTTCTGCAGCTGGTTGCGGGGGCGGGCACGCCCAGCCTCTTGATCTCGGGGCCGCCTCCTCCGCCGACCCCGCCTCTGTGGCGCAGCTGGAGGGCACCGAGGTTAGACTCCCGGACGAACTTCCCGGCGCAGGAAGGGGGCTCAGCGCGGGAGAGTGAGGCCAGAGCCCACCCGCTAGGATGGGAGGCGCGGGGCCTGGCTGCGGGCCCCGGCGGCCCGAGGCAGAGCGGGCAGCTCCGGGACGGCGTACACCACGCGTGTCCGCGCCCTCAGCCGGCACGCAGGGCGGCCTGGCCCTTTAAGCGTCCAGACGGCGGCCCCAGCTGACGCGCGGGCTCCAATCGGCGCCCCGCGCCCCCCGCCCGCCGCGCCCGAGGCTCTGGGGCCGCAGCTGCTCGGCGGCTGGACTCGCCGCGGCCCTGCGCCTCCGCCCGCCCGGCCGCGCCCCCGGGGGCCATGGTCGCGGGGCCCTGCGCGGGGGCGGCCCCCAGCGCGGCGCTTCATGGAGCGGCCCCGGCCCGGCCGCCGGGGGCAGCGCGATCCCGCGGGGCCCTGTGAGCCCCCAGCGCCACGGCACCATGGTACGCAAGGCCCTGCCTGTCCCCCCGCTTATCCGCCCACCTGCCCGCTCTGCCCTCCCGAGCGCACGGCCCGCTGGCAGGCGGTGGAGGTTGGAGGGCTCTGCCCCCTCGCCAGGGCTCCCCGACCCGCTTTTCCTGGGTCCCCGTGGGCCTGGAATGCGGCGCTCGGCAGGGAGGGGGTTAAATTCCTGGGGTGGGGGCCTGGGCGCGAGAGGCGGAGGTCTTGCTGGGCACTGGCGGAGGGGGGCGCTTCCCTGAGTCCGGAGAGCGCCGCCCTCAGACTGGGTGATGGGGGGAAGTGGGGAGGTCGGATTCCCGCCTGGGCCTTAAGCCACGTGGGCGCTGGAGCCGCCCTGCCTGGGGATTCGGGGTGCCTGGGCCAAACGGGGTGTGCTGGGGGCCGTCAAACTCCTGTGTGACCTTGGGCCGGTCTCCCGCCCTCTCTGGGCCTGTTTCCCGGGAAGGAGGGAGGCATAAGCAGAGGAGATGGAATAGACAACCCCCTCTCCAAAAGGAGGGGCCTGGAAGTCCTGAGCCTGTGCCCCTTGCTCCGATTGGGCCCACCCACTACAGCCGGGCCATGGAAAGATTGGCGTGGGGGTAAGGGGTGCCGATGGAGCCCTGGTTTCACTTAGGGCCTCCAGGAAGGCGCTGGGGCAGGTTAGGAAGGCAGTGGCTTCCTGGCCATGAGGCAGGGTATCCCTCAGGTGTACAAGCTCTGACCTAGGAGAGCACCTGGTCAGATTTTCCTGGCACCTGGCTTCCCCCCAGCCTGACTTGGGGGCAGGAGTTTGAGGGTATGAAACCCCCTGGCTGCAGGAGAACCTGCCCACTCCTCTAGTCCTGCATCTTAGCCAGGCTGGCTTGGCCTCGGGGGTGGAGTGTGTAGCTGCAGCTGGCACAGCCAGATGGGGAGGGGCATCTGCAGCTTCGGGGAACGGGCACATCTGGCTGGGGAGGCGGCACAGCTGGTGGGCCCTGTGTGGAAGGTGCCAGCCTAGGGGGCAGCTGTGTCCTGCTGAAGGGCTGCCAGTTATGGACTCAGGCTGCATCTGTGTGCCTTTTCAAAGAGGTCCAGTCACAGCGCCTGGCCCTGAGGTTCCTGGCCCCTCGGGAGACAAGGATGGTGCTGGCTTGGCGGGGGTACTGCCTGGTGAATGGAGTCTTTGGGGCAGCACTACCCACCAGGCTAACCCCTCCTCCTCTGCTGAAGCCAGAGGGCCCTGGCCAGGCATTGCCTGGGCCCTGGGTCTGGCCCTGCACACAGGAAGATTGGGCACTGCCCTTTCCCCATGGCAAGCAGACACTGGTGGGCACTCTGTGAAGGGGGAGCAGGTGGACAGGGGCCTAGTGGCCTGGATGGGCTCCCCACAATGGGCCTGGCTTTGACGAGCCTTTATCCAAGTCACTGTCTCTGCCACTCTCTGGCCACTGGAGCCCCTAAGGAGCCCCTGTTACTATTCATGTTGTTCCCTGACCTCTCACCTACAGATAGCAGCAGCTCTGGGGAGGAGGTTGTGGGGGAGTCTGAGGAAGCACAGCTGGTCCCCTGGAGGGAGGGTCTCCAGATGCCTCTTCCGGTGTTTTAAGTCATTCAAGGTCAAGAACTCTGTCTACATGCTGCAGTGTCCCGCCCAGCAGGGAAGGCAGCCTAGGCAAGGTGGGAGGCCAGGGGCTCTGCTCCTGCTCACTTTGAGACGCTCCCATCCAGAGCCTCAGTTTCCCCATCTGTGCAGTAGGAGTTGGTCCCAGGAGATGAATCAGACTGAGTCCTGGGAGGGGACTGAGAGGGGCTTGGCACCCCATCCCAGTTAGATTGGCCAGGCAGCTCTAAGACAGAGGGGCAGATGGGTGGCTTCTCAGCTGGGGACAGGAGGCACGTAGGAGAACTTGAGGAAGATGGTGTCCGTGGCCAAGGGCCTTGCCAGAGTGGGCTCTGAGTGCGTGAGTGCCGAGTGCTGCCCTGGGCTGCTGGGTGTGAAGGGGGGGGCCCAGGGCAGGTTGTCCCTGGTAGCAGCTTGAGGCCCATTCTGAGGCCCATTATTCAGATGACTAAGAAATTGAGAACAGTCACCTCTCACACATCTCCCTGCCCAGTCTAGGCCCACCCTCTGCTGCCCCAGCAGCGGAAGGACTGGCAAGGGGGCTAGAGGTGAGCTGTGGATGGATGGGACCCGGGTTTCATCCCAGGGCCTCCATGGAGGTGCTTGGGGGAGGGGAGCTGATCGCTTTGTGGCAGTGGGACAGGGTTCTCAAACAGAGGGTGCTCTGACCCGGCTGGACAGGCCTGGGGAGGGCCGGAACCTGGAACATACGGGGCTGGTCCAGCCAGGCAGGTAGCCAGCAGATATTAGTTGAGCATCTGCTGTGCGCTGGACCCATACAAGGGACTGGGCAGCCTGTCTGTGCTGCCCACCTGAGGGGAGGTCACTGGTGGAGCCGGGAAGGATGCAGCCAGTCCCCACTGTAGCAGTTCACAGGCGCTAGATGTGGTGCAAGGGCTTGACAATCCGACCGTCAAACTTCAAGGGCCCCCCGAGACTGCAGCGGCCCCAGATGGTGGCCTTCCAAGATGGGGCCATCTCAGAACCTCTGGCCCTGGACCATACCTGGCCAGCGGTCTGGGGCAGGCCTTGGGGCCAACACCCCCACAGAACCCCCGTATGAGGGGGAGGTGCAGAAGGCCAGGCCTTAATAAGGGGTTGGCTGGATCTCACTAGCCTCCTCTAGCAGGCCACCAGGACCGGTGGGGAGAAGTCCCAGGCCCTAGGCATGGATTTCTTCACAGAAGGTTTTACCTCTGCGGCACTCAGCCCCGGCAAGGCCCGCTGTTGGTGAGGTGAAGGGTTCCCTCGGGGGCCACTCCCAGGGGTACAGTAGCCAGAGGCTGGGCAGTGAGTGAGTGAGCCTGACTTCTCTTTTTGGGTGTCTGGGGTGAGCCAGGCTTGGTTCTATTTGTACGAGTGAGAGAACCCACGGAGCTCAGGAATGCCTGTGTCCCTGCTGGGTGACCCCCAATCCTGGTTTGCCCACGATGGCCCTAGTTTTAGCACTGAAAAGTCCCACATCCCAGGAAACCCGCAGGTCCCTGGCACACCTGGACAGCTGTCACCCTAGTCCCTCTCTTCCTTTTCCCTTCCCCGATGACTTCCTGTTTCACAGAGGAAGAGCTGGAGGCCCAGAAAAGTGAACTGATCCTTGGCCTCAGAAAGCCGTGGTCAGAGTTCGAGCTCTGAGGGGCAGCTGACTCGAGCTTGCATCCTGGTTTTTTCCTCCTCTCCCATGCTGGAGCTTTGGCTCCTTGTCTGCAATGTGGAGCCAGGAGTGATGGGTGGGCTGCCTCCGGGACAGTGGGTGCCACGGGGACCCTGCTGGCCTTGACCTGACCTGTGTCCTCTGCGCTGCAGTTGCTGGTTGAGAAGACAACCGACTCACCGGCGGCCGAGTTCTCGCTGGTGGAGGACGTGGCTCTGCACTTCGCCTGCTTGATGGGCCGTCTGAATGAGCAGCGCCTCTTCCAACCTGACCTCTGCGACGTGGACCTGGTGCTGGTGCCCCAGCGCAGCGTCTTCCCAGCGCACAAGGGCGTGCTGGCCGCCTACAGTCAGTTCTTCCACTCGCTCTTCACCCAGAACAAGCAGTTGCAGCGCGTGGAGCTGTCCCTGGAGGCACTGGCGCCTGGTGGCCTGCAGCAGATCCTCAACTTCATCTACACGTCCAAGCTGCTGGTCAACGCAGCCAACGTCCACGAGGTGCTCAGTGCCGCCTCGCTGCTGCAGATGGCCGACATCGCGGCGTCCTGCCAGGAGCTGCTAGACGCTCGCTCCCTGGGCCCCCCCCCGGCCCCAGCGCTGTGGCCCTGGCCCAGCCGGCCGCCAGCTGCACCCCAGCCTCGCCACCCTACTACTGCGACATCAAGCAGGAGGCCGACACCCCGGGACTGCCCAAGATCTACGCCCGAGAGGGCCCTGACCCCTACTCCGTGCGCGTCGAGGACGGGGCAGGGACTGCAGGTGGCACAGTGCCTGCCACCCTTGGGCCAGCTCAGCCCTTCTTCAAGGAGGAGAAGGAGGGTGGTGTGGAGGAGTCCGGTGGGCCCCCGGCCAGCTTGTGCAAGCTGGAGGGGGGGGAAGAGCTGGAGGAAGAGCTTGGGGGATCTGGTACCTACAGCCGCCAGGAGCAGTCCCAGATCATCGTGGAGGTGAACCTCAACAACCAGACACTGCACGTGTCCACCACACCCGAGGGCAAGCCGGGTGCTGCCTCGGGCCCGGCCACCATGGTGCTGGGCCGGGAGGATGCGCTGCAAAGACACTCAGAGGATGAGGAGGAGGAGGAGGAGGAAGAGGAGGAGGAAGAAGAGGAGGGGGGTGGCAGTGGAGGGGAGGAGGAGGAGGAAGAGGAAGGTGGCAGTCAGGGAGAGGAGGACGAGGAGGAGGAAGGGCACAGTGAACAGGAGGAGGAGGAGGAGGAGGAGGAGGAAGAAGGACACAGTGAGCAGGATCAAGAGAGCTCAGAGGAGGAGGAGGAAGAGGAGGAGGGGGAGGTGGGGGCCAGACAGGGGCCAGCGGGGCGCAGGGGCAGCCGGGCAGAGCCCCCTCCCCACAGCCGCATGGCCACGCGATCCCGGGAGAACGCCCGGCGCCGGGCCCCGCCTGAGCCCGAGGAGGCTGGGCAGCGTGGTGGAAAGAGGCCAAAGCAGCCCCCCGGAGCAGCCCCCGCACCCGCTCGAGGGCCCCAGGCCACAGACGGGTTGGGAGCCAAGGTGAAGTTGGAGGAGAAGCAGCACCACCCGTGCCAGAAGTGCCCGCGTGTTTTCAACAACCGCTGGTACCTGGAGAAACACATGAACGTGACCCACAGCCGCATGCAGATCTGCGACCAGTGTGGCAAGCGCTTCCTGCTGGAGAGCGAGCTGCTGCTGCACCGGCAGACAGACTGTGAACGGAACATCCAGGTGGGCCTCAGGGCGGCTGCGCGGGCTGGACGGGCAGGGCAGGGCCGCAGGCCAGCTGGGCCACCTGGCCCACCAGGCTGGGCCAGGCCACACTTGGGCCCTGGGCGCCCAGGGCCCTGCCGCCTCGTTGCCCAGACAGTCTGGGGAGACCAGACTCAGCCTCCTGGAGAGCAGGACAGGCCCAGCACCAGGCCCAGGTTGGTGAGAACAAGAGCTTCTGGAGGAGACACGTAGAGACGTGCTGGGCTTTGACATGTAGAAAGACTTGCAGATAGTATCGGGACAGACAGTCCCCTTGGCCAGAGGGGCAAGGGAACATGGACTTGGAGGGTGAGAGGAAGACTTGCCTGAGCACCGGAGACCGGGGACAGCCAGCTGTGAGGAGGGATGAGTCAGTGTTTTAGCAAATGCTTACGCTGTCCGAAGGCCAGCGGGACCGCGGTGTATAGTCTCACAGACTGGCAGGGCACCGAAGCACCAGATGACGGGAGGAGGAGAGGACCCAGAGGGGGGCGCTGCTTTCCACTTGCCGCAGGCTGAGTAAGGGGCTGCTGGGCAGGAAGGAGTCCCTGCATTCAGCTCTTTGGAGATGCCAGCTGGCCTGGGTCTGGGGAAGAGGGACTGGATGAGAAATTTGGGAAGAGCAGGGGCTGCGGGGACCAAGCAGGGAAACTCGGCTGGCTGCCAGGCCTTGGGCCAGCCTGAGTCTGTGCCAGTCTGGCCTCTCAGGATGTGGGCAGCGCAGGGCCAGCCAGGCTGGTTTTTACCTTTGTGGCGGAGAGGTGGTGAGGTGAGGGCAGCAGGTAGGCAGGTGCTAATTGCCTGAACTAATTGCTAATTGCAGTGCCCTGTGGAGAAAGTGTTACCTGGGGGTGACCTGGTCTCCTGCCCCACCCTCGCGTACCTGTTCCCACTTGCCTGCCTGCTGGGCTGCTCTTTGACTCTCCACCTGCCACACACTTGAGCCTCCCTTCTGAAGGGGAAAGACACTGATGCTCCTTCTGACCTGGGCAACCTGACCAACCTGACCCAGTTTCTGCTCGAGCCTGGCCTTGCCTCCAGGGCTCGGAAGTGTCCTGCAGGGATGGGCAGGACAGGGCCCAGGGGGAGAGGAGGAGGAGAGTATGACCTTAAGGTTCGCACCACCCTGCTCTGCCTGATGGGACCTGGTACCTCCTACAGCACCCCTGCCCCCAGCCAGCCCTGGGAGACCTATCTCCTTGGTGATCTCCACGGTGTCAGGGCATGGGTCCCAGCAGGGGAGGCAGCAGAGACAAGAGACAGTGCCCCAACTCTGCCCGGACCTGTTACCTGAGAAGGGCTTCTCCACATCCACTGTGGCCCCTCAGCCAGCCATGTGTCCCCCCTCTACAGAGAGATGCCTTGTGGAAATGAGTATGGAGGAGGGCCCTCCTGGAGGAGGTGACCCCTGGCCCTCGTCAAGTGCAAGGAGGAAGCGGGGCCAGGCTCCAGCCCTGGGTAGTGGGTGGGTGTTCGGGGAGGTACCATCCCCAATTCCCAGAACATCAGACCTGGCTGGTCCTTGGACTCAAGGGCTCTCTCTCCAGCACAGTTCAGGTGAGGACAGTGAGGCCCAGACCAGGCCTAACGTCCTCTCACCCCACAGTGCGTGACATGCGGCAAAGCTTTTAAGAAGCTGTGGTCCCTCCACGAGCACAACAAGATCGTGCATGGCTACGCAGAGAAGAAGTTCTCGTGTGAGATCTGCGAGAAGAAGTTCTACACCATGGCCCACGTGCGCAAGCACATGGTGGGTGAGTCTAGGCCATGGGGGATGGAGCCTGAGGACGGAGCCGGCCAGCTGTCGGTGTGCTGGGAAGGACCACCTCCAAGGGCAGTGTGAGGGGGTGAGAGGTCTCGGCAGGCAGGCCTGGGCAGCTGGCTGCAGTGGCAGGGAGGCCCTGGGGCCAGGGCTGTCATGTTCAGTTGGGCAGGTCGCACACTGCACAAGAACTCCTGGACATGATGGCAGGTGGAGACCAGAATCCAGATGGCACAGGCCCTGTCTCACTTTGACAACAACTGTGCCTCTGATTCGTTCTCACCATCGGGCCCTCACAGGACTTCATGCCCTTCTGAATGCAACCTTTCCCCTAGGGTCGCACCTGCATACAGTAAGGAGGCACCCTAAGCCCTCTGCCTTGGCATGGCCGGCCCCGCCCTCTAGGTGGGCTTGGCTGGGAGTCTTGAATCTCTGCAGCCCTCCCTTCCTTGCCTGCTCATGGACTTGGGCTCAGGGAAAAGTGGCCAAGGTGGGCCTTACTCCCTCTTCCACCAGACAGGGGCCTCCAGCGTGAACTTCCTGGGAGCTGAGACCCGGGGTTTAGGTCTCAACCAGGAGATGCTGGGCAGCCCAGGATCGGGGGTCCTTCCTGGGTTCAGGTTCACCAGCCCTGAGCTCTGCGGGGCCTCCCTGCCTCCAGCTGCTTCCTCCCGGTTCTTCTCACCTGCCGGTGGGCTCTGGGCAGTGCAGCTAAGCCCTCCACCAGCGAGGCACAGCACCACTCCTGGCCGCCTCTTGCAGGAGACACAGGCCCGCAGAGTCCGTGCAGGGAGCCAGTGGCTGGGCCAAGCTTTGCGTTGAGGCTAGTCCCGTTGGGATCCATCTCTCCCAGAAATTTTGGGGGGTAAGGCGGCCTTTGCTACTTCTCTTGGCCAGAGGCTAAAGAACCACAAGGGCCCCTACGCTTGTCTGACCAGACTTCAGAGCAGACAGACCTAGCCCCCGGGGAAGGAGGCCTGCCTAGGAGGCAGCCCCAGGTACTGGGACAGAGACTGTGAGGCAGGCCCCAGGGCAGGTGGGGTCCCCCAGAGCTGTGACAGTCATGGTGCATGCCCTGTAGCTCACACCAAGGACATGCCCTTCACCTGTGAGACCTGCGGGAAGTCCTTCAAACGTAGCATGTCTCTCAAGGTACACTCGCTGCAGCACTCTGGGGAGAAGCCCTTCCGATGTGAGGTAAGTGTACTTCTCCCCTGCTCCAGGCGCCACCCAGGGCAGGTCAGGGGTCAGGGACAGCAGCTGTTTACCAGCCAGGGGGTAGGAGGAGTCGGGCACAGGGTTCTGAAAGAGAGGCCCTCCCTCTGATGTCTGTGCCTTTGCCTCCCACTCCATTCTTACCTGGTCATCAGCTTGCCCCCGCCACCCGACTAGCCACTCCACCCCTAACCCCAACCTCACACATTCCGGGTAGGAATCTGCCTGGGCTGGGACAATGGGACAGGCTTTCTGGAGAGGTGGCCCGAGAAACATCTCAGGCAGAGGCATGGAGCTGGAGGTGGGGCAATGAGGGGGCCCTGACAACCAAGAAGGAGGGGGGCAGTTGGCTTTAAGCACAAGGCCTGCCTCCACTCTGTGGCCTTTTCCCACTTCCTGGACCCCATTCCCACCTGGGCCCTGCGCCCCGTGGTTCTTCACCTCTGCTCCTACACCGCTCCCCGGCCTCGCCCCTCACCCCACCCCCAGAACTGCAGCGAGCGCTTCCAGTACAAGTACCAGCTGCGCTCCCACATGAGCATCCACATCGGGCACAAGCAGTTCATGTGCCAGTGGTGCGGCAAGGACTTCAACATGAAGCAGTACTTCGACGAGCACATGAAGACGCACACAGGTACGGCCGCTCAGGGTGCCTGGCACCGCCTGCCCCTTCCAGCCCTGGACCTCCGTTTATCCTTTTCTTTAATCCTCACCGAGGATATTTTTCCTTGATATTTTAGAGTGGGAGGGAGGGAGGGAGGGAGGGAGGGAGGGAGGGAAGGAGGGAAGGAGGGAGAGAAACATCAGTGTAAGAAAAACACACTGATTGGTTGCCTCCAGCACTCACTGGGAATCAAATCTGCAACGCAGGTACGTGCCCTTGACTGGGAATCTAATCCGAGACCCTTCAGACCGCAGGGCGACGCTCTAACCGCTGAGCCAAACCAGCCAGGGCCTCAGTTTACCCCTCTAAGGCTTGGGGCCCTTCTCCCTGCCTCCCAGGCGGGGCAAGGCTGATGCAAAGCGGCCGGGGTGGGGAGGGTCGCAGCGGCCAGGGCTGAGCGCCCCTGTGGTTCCCGGCGCCGGGGCGGCCCTGGGCTGGGGTGTAGCATCTCCCCGCACACCCACCGCCCCTCCACCGCCCCTCCCCCACCCCAGGGGAGAAGCCGTACATCTGCGAGATCTGCGGCAAGAGCTTCACCAGCCGGCCCAACATGAAGCGGCACCGGCGCACGCACACGGGCGAGAAGCCTTACCCCTGCGACGTCTGCGGCCAGCGCTTCCGCTTCTCCAACATGCTCAAGGCCCACAAGGAGAAGTGCTTCCGCGTCAGCCACCCGCTGGCCGGCGACGGCCCCCCCTCGGCCGGCCCGCCCCCCACCCCGCCGCAGGCCGCGCTGCCGCTGCTGCCCGGGCTGCCCCAGACCCTGCCCGGCCCGCCGCACCTGCCCGGCCCGCCGCCACTCTTCCCCGCCTCTGCCAACAGCAGCGGGAGGATGAGCGACAACCAACCCTGACCCACGCACGCCCGACCTGGAGCCCGGGCCACGGGGGGCACCCCCCTGCCCGCCCCTCTTTGTGGGAGGGCCCACCGGCCTGGCACCGCCGCCCCACCCCCAGAGGTGACTGGACTTGCTCTGCTTGAGGCCCCTGCCCCTGGCAGCGGTGCAGGCGGGCGGCCCCCAGAGCTGGTGGAGGACACCTCACTCCCAAGTGCCCCCTTTCAGTGACTCCTGGAAGCCTTTTTTGGGGGGACGTGAAGGAAAAAGAGAGGAAACTATTTGCAGTGCCCCCCTCCAGGCGAGGGGGGCGCTGGAGGCAGCAGGTACAGTGGAATTGGTGGCCTGGAGACAGGTGTGACGGGTCACTCTGCCAGGCCTGAGCTGGAGGGGCTGTCCAGGTGGAGCCTGGGCCAGCCTCAGCGGCTCATCCCTGCCTCCCCTGTGCCCCCTGGCTTGCCCCCTAGTCCCGGAGGGCTTGGGGAGAAGGTGGGATGCCAGCCCCCTGGGCGCAGCTGTGCACTCAGTCTGAGGACTGGACACCAGGGCAGGGGCTTGGGACTGAATGCCCACGAGCATGCTGGGTGGGGAGTGGCGAGGTGTGAAGACTTCAGACCCAGCTCTGCACCATGTGGAGTGGGCCAGGCAGGGGCTGGACCCCAGGCGTTTGCTTTCCCCACCCGCAGCCCTGCCAGCAAGCACAGGAACCCCAACCTGCAGCGGGCGGCACCGCGGTCCCTGGGCCTCAGGGTGCTGTGGGCAGGCCCTGGGTGGGCAGATGGGTCAGCTCCCTCAGCACCGGCTCCCAGGGGCTACGGTCCAGGAGCCTGCCTGTGGCAAGGCCCTAGGAGGAGACTCGGGGAAGGGTTCTGAAGTTTCAAGGTGCTATCAGTGGGGCAGGGGCAGGGCTGGTGGCAGCCCCCACCCTCACCAGCTGCCCTGGCCATATCTCCCACACCAGAGGAGATGTGTATGTCTGTGTCCGTCTCTGCTCCCTGAAGGCAATGCCAGGCCTCACGCTCTCCTCGCCCCGCCACAGCCTGCCACGGCTAGTGTCCAGTGTCCCTGCTGGGCTGCTGGGCTGGTGGCAGGGTGCCTGTGGCATTGTTGGAGAGAGGAGCCTGCACAGTCAGGCCCTGGGGGAGGGGCAGGGTCCTGGGGGAGCCCCTACCTGTGCCCAATGCTTGCCCCCATGAGGCCGGCACTAATAGGTCACCCTTTTTTGTTGTCATTTAACATCTTTATTCCTGCCTTTGAAATGGGTAGGAAGGTTCCATAAGCTACATGTTTCGTAGTTAAGCTCTTTCCTATTGTGTTTATATGGTTTTGTTTGTTATACTCTTTGCACCTTAAACCCCCACAACTACCCCCTACACCACCACCTTCCCAGCATGGCTGGAGTGGGAAGAGGCCTGAGCCCAAGGGGGTGATGGGGGCGGCTGGGCCCTATCAGCCTAAAGGTTGAAGGGGTCGGAACCCCTCTGACCTCCTTGTGAGGCCCATGGCGCTGGGGCAGGGGGCTGGGCACATTTTAATCATCAATAAACGAAGCACTTTATTCTGTACAGATGTGGGTAGGCCCAAGGAGCCCGAGTGATTTGAGAGTCTACAATCCAGGCTGCACAGCCTGCTTGCTCTCTGGGCACAGAGCGGGCAGTGCCCTGGCCCGGAGGAGTTCGGGGCTGCAGCAGGAGCAGTACAAACCAGAGCCTACGACACCCCCCAGCGGCCCTGCTGTCCTCTGGGGGTTGAAAGCGGGCCCCTCCCCCAGAGAGGAAGGCATCCTGTCTGGCTCTCAGCTCTGTGGTTCCCCATCCCTCGCCTGGGCCTCCCAGGCCTCTGCTTTACTGTAGCTCTTTTCCTCTTCCCCCTTATCTCTGGGCTTCCATGATGTCCTCAGGGTCCCCCTTCCCCACTCCCCCACCCTTACTATTTCTAACCTCTGGTCCCAGTGCCTGGCAGCTCTGCAGAGCTGGCTCACATTTTCCCAAAAAAGTTGATCTCCCCCGATGGACTTTAGGCCGGGACCCCCATGGGTCTCACAACTCCCTGTCACTGACACCAGGGTCTACCATAGGGGCTGGTGGCCTTGTCACCTGCTAGCCCCGCTGCAGCCTTAGCAAGTCAGGCCAGACTTTGACAAGCAGAGGCCAGAGATGGGTATGAGGGAGCTGGTAGTGAAACCCTGCCCCAAAACGGGTTTCAGGTTTCCTCTTCGGGCAGGAGAGGGGTCCAGACAGCAGGCTGTGCTCTGGTCAGAATGGCCTTGTAGCCGTACAGGTGGGCACAGCCAGGCCCTCTCCTGGGAGGCGCCATCCCCGTGGGGGCAGGAGCCCTGTGTCCCTGGTGCTAAATGCTCTCTTCCCCTTGGGCCACAGCGGGTGGGAGCCCCTTTCCAGCCAGACCACAGGGTCTGAAGCAATAATGGAACCTCAGCAGGGCCAGTATGGATGGGGTTCTTGTTTTACCAGCTTTTCCATTTCCTTTTTATTTTAAAAACAAAATTAACAAGCACCTGGACATTGGACTGAGGGGACTGGGGCTTCATACCTAACCCTTGGGGCTGGTGGTTGTGGCGGGGAGGGGCTTAGGATCATCACCTCCCACTGGAGTCCGGCCATGAGCAGGTCCCTCTGTCCATCTGGACTTCTCAGCCCATTTGGCCAGACCTCGGGTCTGGAACTTGGGCCTGTCCCTGCCCCAGCTCCCCTCCCCTCTCCCCCCGGGACTTCCTGGTCTTGGGCCAGCTGGGGGTGAGTGGCCAGAGAGATGGGGGGGGGGCCTCAAGCCCCATGACCACAGTTCTGGGAGGTGGGACTGGTCTTAGCCTGAGCCTCCGACGCTAGCATGTGCTGTCACGGTGCCCTCACAGCGGTGGCAGAACGGCTCTGCCCAGGCCTGTGGACCCCTGATGTCTGGTCACATGTGGCCACCCTACAGCCACAGAGTGTGTGGGGGACAGCAGGTGGGGGAGTGAGAAGAGAGGGGAATAAAGTCAGTACAACTGTTCCTTGGCCCAGCCTCTTCTTTACATGTTCCTGCCTGGACTGTTGGCTAGAAGACTTGGACCAGAGCAAGGGGCCCGACAGCTCAGCTGAAGAATGCATGGATGTCATGCCCCGGACCCCGTCTCCCTCCCTTAGGTTGGGCTGGAATTTGGGGAGCACCCAGAGTCAAGAGCTGAGGCAAGAGCAGAGATGCACCTCCAAACTGGTGCTGGGTCTTGGGCGGGGTGCAGAATGGGCCTGGAAAAGGAGTCCTAGGGCTAATGAGGTTGAGGCCCCAAACACAGTGCCACAGGAGGCCAGGGTCCCTGCAGGTGTGGTTTCCGTGAGCAGCAGGCATGTAACCAGAGCCCCGCCCACTCATGCTCCACACTGGGGGTGCCATGATGAGCAGTGTGGACCCATCCCTCCCTCCCTGGGCGGGGGAGTCTGAAGGAGCCAGAGAGAGAAGCTGTCACGGGTGCCTGGGAGGACAAAGCTCAGATGGAAGACAGGTAGTGGCCTCTGAGAGGGAGCATGTGGCTCCCCCTGGACCTCTGAGAAGTGATTTCTTTGCACAGGTGACACATGGAGCACTGGCTCTGTACCAGGTGGGGCTCTAGGCCTGGGGATACGTGGTGAATGAGGCCGCTGTGTGATAGTTCTGGAAACGGGAGGGGTTCATTAACCAGCCAGCAGAGGTGCAGGTTCCCAGAGTGTGGACACTGTTCACACAGGCCCACCTCCTTGACGGAAAAGAACGGGCTCACTCAGATCACCCCAGAAAAAGGCTTGCTGACAGACCCAGGAGCCTGGCTGCTCCCCTTGTCTCTTGCAGGGGTCTGTCTGCTCTCTGTTTATGCTCCTTCCCCCTTGCTACCCATCCGTTTGTCTGTCTACACATCCTTTGCCTTCAGCCTCACTTCACCTTCCTCATCCTCAAAGTACCCTTGACCTTGACCAATGTGGGGATTAGTGGTACTGAACGCAGCGCAGTCGAAAATCTGCATATAACTTTTCATTTCCCCCCAACTTACCTACTAATAGCCTACTGTTGACTGGAAGCCTCATTGCTAACAATCAACACGGCCCGGCCGTTGTGGCTCAGTGGTTGAGTGCCGACCCATGCACCAAGAGGTTGCAGGTTCAATTCCTGGTCAGGACACATGTCCAGGTTGTGGGCCCGATCCCCGGTGCGGGGCAGGCAGGAGGCGGCCAATCAATGTTCTCTCCCATCGATGTTTCTATCTCTCTCCCGATCCCTTCCTTTCTCTCTAAAAATTAATAAAGAAAAACAAATTTAAAAAAAATCAATCAACATGTTTTGTATGTTGTATGTAGTATATACTGTATTCTTACAATAAAATAAGCTAGAAAAAGGAAAGTGTTATTAAGGAAATCATAAAACACATTTATAGAACTGTACATATTTATGGGGGAAAATCCATGTATAAGCAGACCATGCAGTTCAAGCCCACGTTGTTTAAGGATCAACTGTTTTTCCAAGTTCACCCTCCAGAGAGTCTTGGGCGTGCGCCATGTGAGGCTGGGAGGCTGGGTGCCGGATACTGTGGTTGGCATCTCTGTGCACTTGCTCTCCTCAGTTTTGCTCTTTGGGACCGAGCGGCTCACTAACACCTGGTGACCTGGCAGACAGGTCAGAGCAGTGCTGGCCCGCTGGACAAAGCTGGGCTGTCCTTCCTTCCAAGGCACAGCAGGGGTGTGAGATGAGGAAGTGAGGCCCCCTGACTTAGCAGTGTCCTTGGACCTACCCTGGCTTATTTTACTTAGCACGATGCCCTCAAGGTTCATCCATGTTGTAGTAGGTGTCAGGATTTCCTTCCTTTTCCGGGCTGAATAATATTCCACTGTACATGTGTCTATCCTTCCCCCACTAAATTACTCCTGACCTTTGTCAAAAATCAGTTGAGCCATTAAGTTTTAAATTTTGGTTTCTACATGTTCACTGTTAGTAGATAGAAATGCAATTGATTTTTTATGTGTTGATCTTATAGCCTCCAAACTTGCTAAACTCATTTATTAGTTCCTGGAGGTTCTTCTTTCTTTGTTTTGTTTTACAGATTCCCTGGGATTATTTCCTCTTTATTCCTTAAAGATAGTTTCATCAGATCTCGAACTCATTTTCAGTTCTTTCAGCTCTTGAAAAATGCCCTGCCTCTTTCTCCTGGCCTCCGTGGCTTCTGATGAGGAATCCACCCCCTGCCCCGAATTGGTGGCCCCTGTAGGGGAAGCGTTGTTTCTCTCTGGCTGCTTTCAAGATTTTCCTCTTTGTCTTTGGTTTTTAGTTTAAGTGTGTGTCTCGGCATGGCTTTCTTTGGGTTTATTCTGTCTGGAGTTTGCTCAGCTCTTGGAAGTTGCTGGTTTGTGTCTTTAGCCAAATTTTAGAAATTTTCGGCCATTGTAACTTCAGCTGCTCTTTCGGTCTTTCCTCTCCGGGGCCCTGCGATGCGGATGCTGGGTTCTTTGCTCTTTTTCTCCACTTCTCACTGTCTCTGTTCTGCAGATGAGGGGTGTGCACCGACTTCATCCTGCCATCTCCCCTCTCCTCCCGAGGCCCTCCAGCCAGTTTCTATTTCTGGTCTTGTTTTTCAGCTCTGCGATTTGCACTTGGTTCTTCTGTATAACTCCCATGTCTCGGCTGAGATGTTCAATTTATAGAAATTGGTTGCAAGAGAATTCATGATGTGTGGTGGAAGCATCACGGGGATGGCGACTTTCACCCCCTGGCAGACCATCCCAACCTGATTCGTCTCAGTGATCCATCCGCTGGTTCTTCCCACGCTCAGTGGTGAGTTTCCTGGTTATTAGTACAACGGTGGCTTTTCACTGTATCCTGGGCACTTTGGCTATTGTGTTAGAAGACTCTGGGTTCTTTTTTTGTTGTTGTTTAAACAAGCAATTGCCCTGCTTAGGTTTAGCATGCAGGTCTGGGCCTACTTTGTGGGCTGAGGGTCCAGTAATGATTTAATTTGTCACATGTTTCTGCTTCTGCTGCCTGAGAGAACACAGGAGGTTTCCCCAGGCCAAGTGCCCAGTGTCACGGTCCTGTGAGAAGACTCATGGGTGATGGATATGTCCTCTATACCTTAATGGTGGTTTCACAGGTGTATTTCCATACATCAAAACGCATCAAATGGCACACTTTACGCATGTGCACTTTAGTGGATGTCACTAATGCCTCAACAAAGCTATTTAAAAACAACATAAGACATCCCTGTTTGCTAGCCATCTAAAGGCCAGTTTCTGTAAAATGGGGAAACTAATACCTAGCTCGTCATTTTGGTGCGAAGATTAAATGAGTGAAAATCAAAGGGATGAAGTGAGATGACATTTTCCTTTGATTCAGCGAGAAGCAGTGGAGTCACGCTGCCCCTCGCTCTCCTCCACCCACGTCCAGTCCTCGGCAGCAGAGGTGACACAGGCCTGGCCGTGACTGGACAGGTGTTGAAATGGGGTGATGGGTACATGGGAGATCAGTAAGCCAGTCTCTCCACTTTTGCATATGTTTGCATTTTCCATAATTAGAATTAAAAAATAAACAGTGGCTCCCCGTTTCCCTGAGGGGGAAAACCAATACTGTACACTCGCACACGGTGCTGTGTGGTTCCCTCACCCTCTCCTCTCTGTCCTCATCTCCTAACCTCCTCACTCACAGCTCCAGCCCCACCGGCCTCCTGCTGTTCCTGGAATGAGCCACGTTCCTGCCCCAGGGCATTTGCTCCAGCTGTTCCCTGCCTGGAATCCTCCTTTCCCATGGATTGAACCTGATCAACTGTAGTCCTTTTAGTGAGTCCATCCTGCCTAGTCCATTTTATTTTATTTATTTATTTATTTTATCCTCACCAGAGAACATTTTTGCACTTATCTTCAGATACAGCAGGACAGAGAGAGGGAGGAAGAAGAGAGAGAGAGAAACATCGATGTGAGAGAGACACATCGAGTGGCTGCCACCCACACGACCCCAAGTGAGGCCAGGGACAAACTGCAATCAAGGTACGTGCCCCTAGTGAGTACTGAGCCCAGGACTCTCTGGTCCGTGGGCCGACGCTCTAACTGCTGAGCCAAACCGGCCAGGGCCTGACTATTCCATTTTAAATGGTTACCACCTCCACCTGTCACTGCCCATGCCCCCTTTCCTGCTGTTTGTCACCATAGCATCATCTGATGTCCTGTGTAACAATTTATTTGTTGTTGTCTTCCCCCTGGCCCCGGCGGAATGTAAGCTCCATGAAGACAGGAATTCTTGCCTGATGGGCTCACCGCTGAATCCTCAGCAGGTTCTCGATGAATGAATGAGCCACATATAAATATGCTAGAGGAATGCCTGGTAGGGAGTGAGCACTGTGGGGGCATCATTATCTAAAAATACATCCAGGAGTCATTTGGTAAATATAATTGTTCAGTCAGCACCTTCTGTCCGGGTCTTTGGAAAATGAGACTATGATTAATGGACCTTTTTTGTGTGTTAATCTGTGGGAAGCAATAAGGTAAGGATGCCCCCGGTACTTGGAGATAGGCAGGGCAGCTCTGACTCCTGGCTGGGCCACTTGTCAGCTGTGTGACTTGCCCAGGTTACCTAGCCTCTCAGAGCCTTGTGTCGCTGACAGTACTTGCTAGAAGTGCCCTGCGGTCCAGGGCTGGGCTGGAAGCCCACCACTTAACTTCCTTGTCCTTTCTGCAAGATGGACAGGGCCAGTTCCAGGACCTTCCCAGGTGCTGTGCCCTCTGGGACCTCCTGGTGGACTGAGCAAGCGATGGTCAGATGCACTGCTCAGGAGGGACAGGCAGGGACATCGCTGAGATCACAAAAGGGGAGGTGACTCAGTCTTGGCCCAGCTGAAGTCCCCTTTCCAGTCCCCCACCCCCCAAGCCTGAGCGTATAAACAAGTGACTCAGAGGAATGATGGGAGAATGCCCCATAACACCAGTGTCCTGGGGGCTAAATTTAACCCACAGCTGCAGCCTCCAGCACTTTGGAAACAAATTAATCTTGGTGGATGAGGCTGATGTGTGTGTGAAGGGGGTTGGAGTGGTCAGAAGTCCAGAGCGGTATGGGCACAGGGACTGGCTGTCCTGGGTCTCTACCCTGATCCCTTAGACTGCAGACAGGGTGCAGGGGCCCCAAAGCCAGACAGGCTCAGGCCAAGCCTAGTGTGGACCAAGACTAATGAACATAGACAGCAAAAGTCTTTTTGAACACTGGAATCCAGAATGTTAAAACCTGGGGATTTAAATGCCTAGAATAGTCAAATTCTAGGAAATTAATTTTCTAGCCTGTCTGACACCTTACAATGTTAAAACCCTGTGACTGTGTACTCTCAGGAACACAGAACCTCAGTGCTTCTGAACCTCAGCAGAGCTGAGCCGAGGCCCTCAGAGTCTAACTCCTCCACCTCTTCACTGGGTAGGAAGGGAAACTGAGGCTCAACAGACATATCTGACCTGCCCCAGGCTCCACAGAAAAATGGCCACCTTGTTTACCTAAAGCACCTTCTTGCTTTCTTGCACAGTTAAAGGAGGATCTCAGAGCTGGGGCAGAAATAATCTTCCCATTTTAAAGGTGGGACAACATGCCCAGCCGGTGTGGCTTAGTGGATTGAGCTCGTCCCATTAATAGAGGTCCTGGTTTGATTCCTGGTCAGGGCACATGCCTGGGCTGCGGGCTCAATCTCCAGTCGGGGTCATGCAGGAGGCAGCCTATCAGTGTTTCTCTCTCACATCAATGTTTCTATCTCTCTCTCCCTTCCTCTCTCTAAAACAAAAAATATATAATAAAAAATAGTGGGACAACTAGGTCCCCAGTGAGTCAATGCCTGCTCAATCAAGTTCACTGAGCACAAAGCCCAGCACACTATCCAGAGGTGGTTGGACTGAGATGTGCTCCAGAGGGGAAGACAGAGGCACCTGATGGAAAGACCTAGAAGGCATGAGTAAGGGAGACTGGAAGGTGGACTCCGATATTTGCCCCTCCCTGATGCAAGGGGCAGAGCTTGGGTCATCCTCTCCCCCAGGGGCACTGCCCAACCAAGGAATGTAGTGGAGGCCACGCTGTGCTCCATTTAGAAATGAGGCAGCAAGGCCCTCCTCTTTCCAGGCAGAAACCCCTCCTGTCCCATGAGCCCCCGAGGCTGGGTCAAGGCTGCTCTGGGAGGGGGCCTTTGCCCAGCTGTCCCCTCTGCGTCATGTGCAAGAAGCCAGGCAGCTCGCCTTACAGGGCCAGGTCCACCTCTATATATAGCCGCACAAAGACAGCTGCCTAGACTGAGCACGACCCAGCAGGAACGCAGGGAGTACAGCGCGGAGGCCCCTGGCACCCTCGGTCGCCGCACCCTCGGCCACCCGCCATGGCGCTGGGCTTGGAGCAGGCAGAGGAGCAGCGGTTGTACCAGCAGACGCTCCTGCAGGACGGGCTCAAGGACATGCTGGACCACGGCAAGTTCCTGGACTGCGTGGTGCGGGTGGGTGAGCGCGAGTTCCCGTGCCACCGCCTGGTGCTGGCCGCCTGCAGTCCCTACTTCCGGGCGCGCTTCCTGGCCGAACCAGAGCGCACGGGCGAGCTGCGCCTGGAGGACGTGTCCCCAGACGTGATGGCCCAGGTGCTGCACTACCTGTACACGTCGGAGATCTCGCTGGACGAGGCGACAGTGCAGGATTTGTTCGCTGCGGCGCACCGCTTCCAGATCCCGTCCATCTTCACCATCTGCGTGTCCTTCCTGCAGAAGCGCCTGTGTCTGTCCAACTGCCTGGCCGTCTTCCGCCTCGGCCTCCTGCTCGACTGCGCGCGCCTGGCCGTGGCCGCCCGCGACTTCATCTGCGCGCGTTTCTCGCTCGTGGCGCGCGACGCCGACTTCCTCGGGCTCTCGGCCGACGAGCTCATCGCTATCATCTCCAGCGACGACCTCAACGTGGAGAAGGAGGAGGCTGTGTTCGAGGCGGTGATGCGGTGGGCGGCCCACGGCGATGCCGAGGCCAAGGCCGAGCGCCAGCGCGCGCTGCCCACCGTCTTCGAGAGCGTGCGCTGTCGCCTGCTGCCGCGCGCCTTCCTGGAGACCCGCGTGGAGCGCCACCCTCTGGTGCGGGCCCAGCCCGAGCTGCTGCGAAAGGTGCAGATGGTGAAGGATGCCCACGAGGGCCGCCTCACCGTGCTGCGCAAGAAGAAGAAGGAGAAGGGGAAAGAGACAGCCGGGGCCAAGGCTGCTGACAAGGGCACAGGCGAAGCCAAGGCAGAGGAGAACGAGGAGGACGAGCGTGTCCTACCTGGCATCCTCAATGACACTCTGCGCTTTGGCATGTTCCTGCAGGACCTCATCTTTATGATCAGTGAGGAGGGCGCCGTGGCCTATGATCCAGGAGCCAATGAGTGTTACTGTGCCTCCCTCTCCACCCAGATCCCCAAGAACCACGTCAGCCTGGTGACTAAGGAGAACCAGGTCTTCGTGGCTGGGGGCCTCTTCTACAACGAGGACAACAAAGAGGACCCCATGAGTGCTTACTTTTTGCAGGTGCCTTGCCAGCCCTGGGAGGGGGTGGCCAGTACTGGGTGCTGGGCGCTGGGGTCAGCCTTGGGGCGCAGGAGAGACCTGTGGCTTCTTGTTGGTGAATGTCATTGGTCTAGGGAGGGATGCAGACCAGGGAGGGTCACTAACAGTCACTTGCCCGAAAGCTGAAGACAGTTATAGACAATGGACAATGAGCTGCATAACTTGGGTATCTCAGTTTCAGGGGATGTTAGCCCCGGGATGGTATGATATGTTGTTGGAGGCTCTAGCCCTGCACAGGGGTTGGGGTCAGGCACAGTGAGAAGGAGGAGCAATGTGAATATAGGGGCTCTGGGCAGGGCCTTTGCATGAGTCCAGGACTGGAGTGTGGAGCAGTGTCCCAGACAAAGGGGTCATCCTGCCTAGTCCTTCCATTATACAGATGAGAAAGCTGAGGCCCAGGAAGGACCAGTAGATGGGTTGCCCAAGTTGCAGTGTGATTGTAGGATCTCAGAGGGCAGAAATGGTTTCCTGGTGACTGGCCACGTAGGTGTGAGCCTTGCCAGTTGGGTGGGATTTGGAGACCTGAAGGGGAGGGCGGTGGGGAATGAGCCCAGTACGTGGTACACTCAGTCAGTGAGCTCAGGGGTGAGAGGGGTGACGGGTAGCTTGATGCCAGGATGAAGCTGGGAGGTGGGGGCAGCTCCACCAGTTACCAGCCAAGGCACAGGTGGGCGCACTGTTCCCTCTGAGCTTCCATTCATAAGTCGGGTATTATTCTCCTGCCTGATAAGGTTGTTTGAAGGTTGAATGGTGGGTCTGAAGTGTTCATCAGCACAGGGCTCAGCCTTCAGAAAACTTTTCAAAAAGATGAGCCCCTAGTATTATTATTACATGACTGTCCAGGTGGACAGGGCGACAGACTTACACCGCAGGTTTTAAGAGGTGAGTGGGAGGGCTGGCTGTGACGGAATGGGGTGGGTGGGGAACAGAGGGGAGGGAGGTGTCTGGGGAAGGGGAAGGGGAAGGGCCAGGGCCGCCCTGGGCCGCCGGATCCCATGGTGATCTCCGGACAGCTGCCAACCCAGGAATGGGGGCGGGGCCTCGGCTGTTCTCAACCTGATAGGAAGGGGGGCGCCGTCTACAGAAACCACCTCTGGCTGCGCTGGCCCCACCTGGAGTCCCGGCCCCTCCGTGACGGGGTGGGGGTGGGGATCCGGGAGGCGGCAGCTGACTGGACACCCGGCCTGCAGTTTGACCACCTGGACTCGGAGTGGCTGGGGATGCCGCCGCTGCCCTCGCCGCGCTGCCTCTTCGGCCTGGGGGAGGCTCTCAACGCCATCTACGTGGTCGGCGGCCGGGAGCTCAAGGACCGCGAAAGCAGCCTGGACTCGGTCATGTGCTACGACAGGCTGTGAGCCCGGGCGGGGGCGGCGGCGGGGCGGGCGGGGATGTGGGCTTGAGCTTGGAGGCAAGGGGGCGGGGGCGGGGGCGGGGGGACGCTGGTCTAGGAACGAGGGTGCGGCCGGGAGCTGGAGCGCCGCTTGCGACAGAGACCAGGTTGGGTAGGTGCGGGCAGGGAGGGCGGGATGGTTGGCAGGTGAGATGGGAGCCAGGAAATGAAGGTCTGAGGAGTTCTGGTAATGTCCGGTGCACCCCCAATACATGGTGGGTGGGTGGATACAAAGACAGAGACTGAGTGTGCTTACCCTCTCCCCTCCCCTCCAGGTCGTTCAAATGGGGTGAATCGGACCCGATGCCTTATGAGGTGTATGGCCACGCGGTGGTCTCCCACATGGACCTTGTCTATGTCATTGGCGGCAAAGGCAGCAACAGGTGAGGCTCAGGACTGGCATGAGTGCAGCGGGAGGGCTGCAGGTTAGACCGCTGTAGGGACTGGGCCAAGGGAAGGCGGTGCTCTGCTCCTGCTTCCTGGTGCCCACTCACTGCCCCCACCCCACAGGAAGTGCCTGAATAAGATGTGCGTCTATGACCCTAAGAAGTTCGAGTGGAAGGAGCTGGCACCCATGCAGACTGCCCGATCACTCTTCGGGGCCACCATCCATGATGGCCGCATTTTTGTGGCTGCTGGGGTCACAGACACAGGGCTGACCAGTTCAGTGGAGGTGTACAGCATCACAGACAACAAGTATGGCCGCTGCCTCCCTGCTTCCTCCCCTCCCTGGGCAGGACAGTGAGGGTCAAGGACTTCACTATAACCCCTGGCTGGGTGGCTTTGGGCCTATGCCGGCCCTCTCGGTGTCAGCCCCAAATAGAAGCACAGCCCCTGTCTGGGATTTTGCAGTTGAGCTTGGGCATCAGCCCAGAAATAGCCCCTCTCCCCTGATCATACTGAGATGGGCTTGCCCTACAAGGTGGGGCAAGGGTTATGGCCAGCCCCGTCTGCAGGGGAGAGCTCCCAGGAGTAGGGTGGGAGATGCCAGGTTCCTCATTCAGAGGCTCACACAAGGCTCTGGCCTGGTACCAGCGATGCAGTGGCGACCAAGCTGCCCTGCCCTGGGAGATCAGGAAGAAAACAGCTGTAGTGGGGGAAGGATGCCCGGGCAAAGGAAAGCAGGTGCCCAGGCAGTGAGCGGAAAGGCAGGCCCGCTGGAGGAAAGGCCACTGCTCAGGCAGGCGGGGCGGTGGGTGAATGGAGGCGGGAGGAGGAACGGGCTGCAGAGGCGGTGAGCGGGGCTGAGGAACCCTATCCCAAGGGCAATGAAATGCCTCTGCTGAGTTTCAAGCTCACATCTGTGTTTCCTCAGCTGCCTCATGACAGCTGGTGTAGAGAAGAGATTAGAAATTTCCCAGGATTCAGGGGTGCAGCTCTAGAGAAAGAAGTGATGGCGGCCTGGAGAGGGGGGACAGGGGGGATGCACTGAGGAAAGACTAGGCCAGGGCTGCTCACATTGCAACATGCACACGCATCTCCTGGAGATCGTGTTAAAGTGCAGATTCGATCTGCAGGTCTGGGGAGGGTCCTGAGAGTACATTTCTAACAACCCCCAGCTGATGCTGATGCTACAGGGCCATGGACCAGACTCTGAGTAGCAAGAGTTTAGGAGACAGAAGGAGAGGATGTAGGGCTTGGTTGGCTGTTGGGGGCGAGGGGGAGAAGTGGAGTGCTAGTGGAATGCCATTTATTGAAGAGCCACTGGGGTTGGGTAGAAAAAGTGAGGGTCTGGTTAGATATGCAGAGTTGAGGTATCTGGGGGTGTCCAGGAGGAGCCCACCAGGGCAGAAAGAGGGCTGAGCTGGGGGGAGATGAGGGACAAGCCCCATCAGGAGAGAGGGAATAATGGGAGAAGCTATGGCCCAAGTCCTGAGGGACGGTAGGGCAGATACATTACCCAGGAAAGAATCTGAGGCCCTGAGGCTGGGCGGCGGGGTGGGGCAGTCACTGGGCTTGCTTAGGCCCCCCCATAATGCACCTCCTCACCCCCCACCCCCCGCCAGGTGGGCATCCTTTGAGGCCTTCCCGCAGGAGCGCAGCTCGCTCAGCCTGGTCAGCCTGGCCGGCACCCTCTATGCCATCGGTGGCTTTGCCACTCTGGAGACTGAGTCCGGGGAGCTGGTCCCCACAGAGCTCAGCGACATCTGGAGGTGAGCGGGGATCATGAGCAAAGCTGATGGCCCACAGCCCCTCGGCGCAGCACCGAGGTGCCTGGCGGACTCTTCCGAGAGCCCTGGGGGGAAGGGACAGCAGCCCGTTCAGCCCTGGATCTCCCCAGTTTGGTTGGGAAGGTCTGGGTCTGCACACATGACACTGTGCCCCACTGTGGGGCCCCAACAGTGTCACAACTGGGAGCTGACCCCAAGCTTAGGGCACAGACCCATGGAAACAGGTCCCAAAATAGAGGGGCGCTGAAGAGGCAGCCAGGCCTTGCCTCTCCTCTCCCTCTTGGATGCTCTCCGGGGAGAGCTGGGGCCAGGGCTGAACCCCAGCTTCGCAGAACCATTGCTTTCCATGGCCGGTCCTTCCTGGGGGTGGAAGGCAGCGGTCTCGGCCACCCCCCTGCCGCAGGCAGCCTCTGGGAGCGCGCTGTGGGGAGAGTGGGGGGCTCCTTGGAGGGCTGAGTAGGGACATTCTACCCCTGAGGGAAGATGTGGACCCCCTGGAGTGTGTGGGCGTTCTCTGGAGGTGGGCCTTGTGGGAGCCCCCTTTCCTGAGCCGGCAATCTCCAGGAGCAGACTTCTCCAGGGCTGGGGTGGGGGTGGGGTAGAGTGGGGACTCCTCAGGGGTGGGCCTGTGCGCCCAGCCCCCCTCCTGCTGGTCCCCCCTGAACTCACTGACCAAGCTCCTCCGTGTCCCACCCCAGATATAACGAGGACGAGAAGAAGTGGGAGGGTGTCCTGCGGGAGATCGCCTACGCCGCGGGCGCCACCTTCCTCCCCGTGCGGCTCAACGTGCTGCGCCTGACCAAGATGTGACAGCCGGGGGGCCTGGACTAAGCACCATCCGGCCCGCGGGCCCACAGGCCCCGGGGCTTCCGGGAGAGGCCAGGGGCCGCCTGGATCTGCCGTGGTGGGTGAGGGCCGAGTGATGGGTGAGGGCCGAGCGGCTGCTTCGGCGGGGAAGGTAATAGCTGCCCTGTCCTAGCCTTGGGGCAGGGACTAGGGACGTTAGGCCTCTCCAGTGTCTCCATACCCACCCTGTTCTTGGTCCTTGAGCTAGAGCCACAGGGGTGGACCCCAGGCTGCATCCTGGCCCTGCCCCAGCCTGGCTGCGTGTACCAGCAAGTCCCCCACGGGGCCCAGCCTGGCTGTCAGAGGGGAGGGTCCCATCACGTGCTTTCTGCAGCCGATAAGTCTCCTTCCGTGAGAATAAAGTGCCTTCTGAGCAAGCAGCTCAGGGTCTGGCAGCAGGTGCTCCAAGTCAGCGATCAGCTGGTTTGAAGATCCGGGCCTTTCGGGTGCCCCGGGTTGATGGTCTCTGCCCTCCACGTGGGTGTCTCCCCCACACTCTGAGTGCGCCAAGAACTCGACCCTCTCCCTGAGGCCCAGAGCTCCCAGTCCCTCGTCCAGCTTAGACAAGGAACCAGGAGGCTGCTGGGGGAAAGGGAGGGACCAGCCCAACAGTGGTAGAAAAGTCTTTTATTCCCAGTCAGGCCCCATGTGGCCTGGCCTGGCCTGGGCCCAGGAGTGGCTGGGCAGAGCCGCCCTGCCCCCTCCCACCTACTCCGGCTTCAGTTTGTCCTGCTTCTGCTCCTCCTCTAGCGCCAGGGTCCGCTCTCGCTCCTTCACCAGCTGGACACCACAGTAGGTGACAAACAGGACGGCCAGTGTGGTCTGGGGAAACCCTGTGGCGGGAAGAGGTCATCGGTGCCTGGGAGCAGCGCCCCACTTGGTGACTCTTCTGTTGCCATGCCTCTCCCCCTGGGGAACTAGGGTGAGGGGGGCAGGTCCAGAGGTCACAGTCCTGGAGGTGCTGCCTGGCACGGTGTGGACCCCACGCTGCTTCCCTCACCTGTGAGCAGCAGGCGCCGGGCCACCAGCTCCGTGAACTCCAGGCTGTTCAGGCTCACAAGGTTGTACATGATGATGGCCCAGAAGTTCATGGCCCCAAAGACGGCCCGGACCCTGCGGGACATCTGCTCCGACAGGGAGGCCTGGCCGGTCCCGGAAAGTGTTGTCAGTGCCGCAAGAGGCCCGGGGGGAAGAGGACACGGAGGTCAGAGGCTCTGCTCACGTGGTCACTGAGGTCCTGGGGATAGGCCCGTGTCTCTGAGAGTCCCCCGGTCACTCTCCCTCGTTGTTAAAGACGGGGAAACTGAGGTCTGGAGAGAGGGCAGCACCTGGCCTGCGGAGCCAGGCCCGGGTGTCCCATGCCCCACAGAAGGTCGGGAGGGCCATCCTCCTGGGAACCAGGAGGGGGGTGGTGAGAGTTCTGGGCTGGGGACCACGTGTGGCTGGACGCCTTCAGAGAGCAACGGCGCTCCACCCCCTGGGCTCACCTCAATGCGTGCTAGGGGCCCCCACTCTGCCAGCTTCTGCACCCACAGCTCGAAGTTGAGGCCGAAGCAGTTAAGGACTGACCACAGGTAGACAATATCACAAGGCCCGAGCCACAGAGTGGTGATGGCAAATGTGGCCACCGAGGCCACCAGCTCTGGGACCACCGCGGAGTGCTCCCCACCAATGTGGTCATACACGTACCTGTGGGAAAGGGCAGACGGTGGGCCAAGAACACCACGGGACAGCCCTCCTCCATGCTATCCTCTGGGCACATTCTACGCGCCTGACCTCCGTGGCTCCTCTTCCTCTACCCCCTTTGGAAGGCGGAGGGCTCAGCCCGGAGCTGCAGCTCATTCAGTCCCGAGTGCTCTCAGCCACACCCGCAGCTTGGAAAACTGTCTCCCTGCGATGAGCCCCACATCTGCGTCTGTAGCCCAGCCCCCCTCCCGACTCGTCTAGCCAGCTGTCACCAGACATCTCGCTGGAGTGACAGGTTCCCCCGTCCCTACCCAGACCCACTTCATCCCCATCAGTTAGTGACACGACCCCCAGGAGCCTCAGTGCCACCTTGGATTCTCAACTCCCATCTCCACCCACATCCAAGCCAGCAAACCGGCTCCGCTCAGCCCCGACCACTGCTCGCCACCGTCCTGGAGATCACTGCACCTCTCTTAGTGGTCTCCCCGCTTCTGCCTTCGCCCCCGCCCTCTGGTCCCCACACGGCAGCCAGAGGCGTCCTTGAGGAGTGTAACTGGGGTCACATCACTTCTACAAGCAAACCTCCCAACGCCCTCCACCCCCATTACAGTGAAAATAAACTCAACTTCCTTACTGAGCCCTCTGGCTTCTGCCTGCCTCCTTGACCTCGTCACCACCACTCTGGCCTCGATGGCCTTTCTGTCCCTCAGGCACAGCTGTTCCTGCCTTAAGGTCTTTGCACCTGCTGTCCCTTCTGTCTCCAGTGACCTTCCCCACATTCCCTATCACTCAAGGCTCAGTTCAAATCTCTCACAGCGGTCTGCCAGGCCCTGTGGCCGGCTTCCGTCCTACTCCACCATGTGTTTTTCACACTGCCTACCACTCTCTAAAATTATTTGTTTGTTACCTGTTTGTGGTCTGTTTCTCCCCACTAGACTGTAAGCGCCATGAGTTCGGGGACTTTGCCATGCTCACTGCTGTATCCCCAGTGCCTAGAACAGTGCCTGGCACATAGTAGGTGCTTAATAAATATTTGTTCAATGAGTTCAGTAGAAGACCCATTGAGTAACGTCCTTGACCTCATTCCCGATGGTTCCTTTTCCACTCCATCTCAGCCGCCCACTGCATGGCCACACCCCAACTTTGCCACCACCTGAAATGTCGCTCATTCCTAATTCCCATTCTCCACCCGGCCCCTGCTGGCCTGGTCTCCCAGCTCCAGTTCTCCAATCTCTTTGACCCCCACCCTTCCTCATCTTGGGACCCCTTCCTTTTTTTTTTTTTTTTTGGTACGTGCCCCTAGGGGGAACCGAACCTGGGACTCTCTAGTCCACAGGCAGATGCTCCAACAGCTGAGCCAAACTGGCCAGGGCTTGGGACCCCTTCTCAACATGTTTCTGTTCAGAGTCATCACTATAGTAACCTAAATCCCCTGACTGCTCTCTCCTTCCTTCTCTGCTTTGGGGGAGCTCCCTCCTCACCTGCGCCCAAGGGCGAGAATCTCACCTTCACATATTAGACTCCGCAACCCACTCTCTGCAACCCCACCTGGGCTGGCAGCCAGGTTTTCTCGAGTCAGCTGGTCCCCGGCTCTGCAGTGCATACGCCACCCTTATCTCCCCTTGCCAAGTGTGAGTGGGTGTGGGGGGATCCAGGCAGGAGGGTGGAGGACACACAGATGCTCCCTCCCTCCCTGCCCTCAACCCTGCCTCTCTCAGCTAATGACCTTGCCTCCTACTTCATGGAGAAACCCGGAGCCTTCAGGGGGAACCCCACCCCCTTCTACATGAACCTGCACCCTTCCGCATCCCACTGGCTTCTCATCCTCCTCCCTGACCCGAAGCCAGGCCTCTGCTGATTCCGTCTCCTCCCTCCTCAGGGACCTCACTCCATCAGCCAGTCCTCTGTCCTGCATCACCAGCTTGGTCCTCTCTGTGGAATAATCCCCAGCGCCCAAGCGCGTTCCACTGTGTCTTGTCTGTAAAACACCCCACAGCTCCGTCGGCCACTGCTCTTCTTCCCCGTCAGTGCCCGGCTTCTTCCAGGAGTCGTCCGTGCAAGGTTCCCTACAGTCCCTCAGTCCCTCCTCGGTCCTCACCTGTCCCCGCCTCTCCAGTGAAGGGCTGAACACCCCAGGCCCAACGCTCAGTCTCCAGCTTCCTTGACCCAGCAGCACCTGACCCAGGTGTCCCCACACACCTGGAGGGTCTGCCCTGGTTCCAGGAAGTCACATGGCCTTGGCTTCTCTGCGGCTCCTGTACCACCTGTCAGTCTTTCCTGCTCCGTCTTCCCCCCACAGAGCTCCTCTGGTCTGCTCTCGGCTACCCCTTCGTTACTCCTCTCCCCCGCCCTCTCGCCTCAGGACCCCAAGGCCAGAAGACCACCCACTCCCATAATGCTCAGAGTTCCATCCTCCTCCAGACCTCTCTGACCCCCTCCCCGAATTTCCACAAGTGTGTCTCCCAGATTCCAACCAGACATTTCTCAGCTGAACCCCGTTCTGGAAACCACCCGGCAACCCTCCCAGGCTGCAGATGAGATCTGGGAGCATCTCCCTCATTTCCTGATGCCTGCAATCCAAGGCCAAGGCCTGTCCGGCGTCCTGATGTGTCTCTACCCCGAGTGTGTCTCTTACTTCAGGCCCCGCCCAACAACTAACCTTTGTCCTCAGCTAGCCCTCTGCTGTGACCTCCTCATTGCCCATCTCGCGTTCTCTGGGCCACAGGTGATCTTTTAAGACATGGAGCAGCCTCTGCACTGCCTGCTCGAACCCCTGGCGCCATAACCGTGACCATCCCCCACCCCACGCCACTCACTTGCAAAGCCAGTCGTTGATGCCACGGTCAAAGTGCCTGCGGGGGGAGGGCGGCTGAGTGTGAGCTCACCGGGAGCAGGGCTCCTGGGACCCAGGGGAGGAGGCCCAGGGAAGGAGGGGACCCTGGGGCGTGTCCCCCATCCCCGCACTCACGTTTCCGAGAAGACGTAGAGCGCCGTGATGCACTTGGGGGGCTGGGGCGGGTCCAGGTGGTCCAGGCGCGCCACGGTGCTGACCACCCCAAAGAGGACGGCCGCCTTCACCCAGTCGTACACCAGGTTGGAGTAGGCCAGGCCCGCTGGGGACAGCGTGCTGTCACTGCCTGGGGGGTCGCACTGGCCCCCCCCAGACACCCAAATCTAGGGGGACTCTTCCAGGTCCTGAGGGAGGTCCTGCTGCCCAGATTGCTCCCGGGGGCATCCCGCTCCCCACTTCTTGGGCCCTGGCCGCCCCAGGGAGACCCCATCCCGCTGTGGAGGTCA